AGTAAGGACAATGGTATGGTCACATAATGAAAGTTGGATGGTTACGGGAGATCACGCAGGATATGTCAAGTACTGGCAGAGCAATATGAACAACGTCAAGATGTTTCAAGCACACAAAGAAGCAATTAGGGGACTCAGGTATATCAATCATCACTCTAGTCCTTTGAACTATTGCAAAGTATTTGCTGTTCTCAGGATATTTTATATAATTCTATTACACTTTTCTTGGAACTGTGCTTTAATTAGCACCCAACTCCTTATCCTTGTACGGATATTTGTATGTAACTCATTTTTAAACAACTGCTCTAAGATAATACTTTTGGTATTGTAACACAAAAAAAGAAAAAATTAGATGACTGTGATATCTTTAATAATAACGTTAGGTTTTTTTATGCATTACCAAGCTGAAAAATGGATGTATTCCAATAATAAAAACAAAAGTACAAATCGCGTGATATATAATCTAGTCAAGATGAGAAATGGAATAATAATAAGAAACAAAATAAAGTTCCTATTCCCAAGCCACTTTATCCAATTGTATAATAAAATGGATGAAATTAAATTTATTGATCGGTGACATTTTTTACATTTCTATTGACTTGTATAAATAAAGTTTTTCCTGAATATCGCCACGATTTTGCCTCTTGCTAAAAATCGATGGAAAAAATAATAATAAAAAACATGCCTCATGTAAATGATCCAATGTGCAATAAATGCTGAATTTATCACAAATTTCAAGGAGCTCGTCTTCCGATAGTTATGTGGCATCAAAAAATTTAGTTTTATTTTCATATTAAATAAATAAATTTAGTTGCAGTGTCAGCCATTAGATTATCAGTCAGTTTGAGTGCCAGTTATGACTGTCGGAGATGCTTTTTTTATTCACAATGCGGGAATCCTTATCTTGAGTTTCTTGGAATATCGGCCAAGTCCCGACTGATTTTAATAAATATTCGTGTATAGCATTTATTTAGCATATTTCCATTTTCGATTGCTTTCACTTTCTACTCGAGCATCTACCAAATGGATTGTTATGACTTTTCAAAACCGTCCGGACGTCAATGAAGAATTTTTATTCTAAACACTAACATCACCATATATGAGTGAATAAACAATAAAACCATTCATTATATTCTTCTACTAAAGATAGCATTGCTTTGTAAAAAAAAAACAAACGAGTTGTTCTTAATTGGCCTATGCTTTTCTACGTCCATGCATGCGAATTCAGGTGGTTGCAGAGGAAGTTTATTCTTCGAACAAATACTCATATCCATTTTATTCTCATAAGCCTATTCATATATTAAATGCACATTTTTAAGGATATAAAATGTGTAAATTTGTGTTTTTATATCATATTTTAGTACTTCAATACCAATTGCTTATAATCATTTACACAATTTATAATGAATACTACTTTAAATTTCCCCATAATATAAGGTCAAGTACATCAAAATGTAGATTTAAAATAGAATATTTTTCACATTTCCATCTACGTTTCAAAGAAAACTAAATTTGCAGGTAGAAATGACAATTTTTTACAAATAATATCGTCAGTTCTATCTACAGAATTATTTTATACTTGATTGTTGAGAGTGAATTTAAATTACCAACTCAAATATTAATTAGCTAGATACTTACATGTCCCTATAAAATAATTTCAACACTTCTGTAAAATAAGGATTGTTAAATACTGCATTTTTCAAAGCATATTCTATGAAATATATTTAATTTTTCATATACCGATGGTTTTAATAATAAAAATAGCTAAACATATTAATAAATTTTGGTTGTTGCGAAAATGCCTAATTTTAAAATCGTTAATATTACATTTTTCGAAAAATGTTAATACCTGGTGTTAAGGTAACTTGCTGGCTGCAGCTCTATACACAAAAAACTGCATTCCCGTTTATAAATCCTTTTACCATTAACAGAAGCAATCATAATATTTTAAGACAGACCCCAACCAAATTGCAACAAATAAATTTTAAATGTACTATAACAAACAAATAGATGAATTTACAAGCCAAACAATGTAGTATTTTGATAATAAATAAAAAAATATATAACGGAATGCGAGGTGTACACGTGTTTATCTATATTTTTGCCTTTTTTGGGCCAATAGTTTCAGTCCAACGGATCACAAATTGGCGACGTGCAGTGACGATGGAACCGTTCGAATTTGGGATTTTCTGCGATGTCACGAAGAGCGTATTCTCCGAGGTAACTTAAAACACCGTTTAATCGTATCTTTAATGAATTTTGCAATAAAACAACAACGCATAAAATGAAAAACATGTGCATATAACATGCTAATTGAATTCTAGGTCATGGAGCGGATGTAAAGTGCGTACACTGGCATCCACAAAAGAGCCTAGTCATATCAGGTAGTAAGGATAATCAGCAACCAGTGAAGCTATGGGATCCGAAAACAGGACAGTCATTGGCGACACTTCACGCGCATAAATCAACTGTAATGGATGTCAAGTGGAATGACAATGGTAATTGGTTGGTTACCGCATCTCGCGATCACTTGCTCAAGCTCTTCGATTTGAGAAATCTCAGTCAAGAGGTGCAGACCTTCCGTGGTCACAAGAAGGAAGCATCCAGCGTTGCTTGGCATCCGAGTCATGAGGGACTCTTCTGCAGCGGTGGAAGTGACGGTGCCATTCTTTTCTGGCACGTCGGGTACGTACATAATCATTCAAGATTTCAAACTTTTAATTATCCTTTTCTTTTTTACCAACAATTTAATTTTCATTTTTATTATTTAGTGCCGACAAAGAAGTTGGAGCGATAGAACAGGCTCACGACAGCATTGTTTGGACATTGGCTTGGCATCCTTTGGGTCACATTTTGTGCTCAGGTAGTAATGATCATACGTCCAAATTTTGGACGAGAAACAGGCCAGGTGATCTCATGAGAGACAAATACAACCTCAACACTCTACCTGCCGGAGCAGGTGGCGTTGACGACCATGAAGTCGGTCAGTAACTTCGTTATTCATTTGTTATTTGGCAACGTTACGGTATTGACATTTTTGTTTTATTGACAATTGAACGTTTGTGTTAACACAGCTGACGAAGGCGCAGTCATTCCGGGTATGGGACCTGAAGATCGTATCAACACAGATCCCGAACACGAAGACAAAAACGGTGAAATACCGGGTCTCGATCTTGATCACGCGGCTGAAGAAAGCAAAAAAGCAGCGAGTAAGAAGGTGCCTTACAGCAAACCTATTCCACGTAACTTTCAAGCTCAGTGGAACGAAATGGAGGCCGAGGACACCGAACAAGTTGAAGCACTTAATGCTATTGTCAATCAGCTTATTGAAACTACTCCCGGCGCCGTGCCTTTAAACGACGTTACTCCTAGCGCTATTATTTTATACGGGAAAATGATTCCAGTTGAACGTGAGTATCGCTTGATTTTGCTAGCTGATTTTTTTTTATAACCTTTTGCGCGAGCATAACCAATGTTATTTTACTTTTAGCTGGATCTAAATTGGCTGAAGCGATTGCGAAGGGTACCGACGCTATAAATAAATTAGTACAATCTGGAGAAATTGAAGAACTACGAGATGTTATCGGACCTAACGAGGATACAGAGGAGATAGAAGAATATTTGCAAGATGACGGTGACATTGATTACACCAAAATTCCTGACCTAGATTTACCACCTCCTCTACCTAGCTCGAAATTCGCTCAGAATCCAGAACTTCTCAAATCTTTGAATCGTGGAGGAAAGCGCAAGTTCGACCAATTGATTGGTTGGAGTGACGGCGCAGGCGACAAAATGGGAAAACTACATCAGCCAGTTTTTGGAGGTTCTTACAATGAGGATTCGCAATCAAGTGATACTGATCTTAGATATGGAATGAACGCAGATAGATCGTCGTCTAAGGACAACTACAATGACAGCTATGATGAAGATTATAGAACAAATGACCAAAGCCTCAGATATAATTCATCTAGCGGACCTGGAAGGCCTGGAATACGTGATGACATAGACTCGCGACACAATTTCCAAGATAGCGACTACAGACAAATGAAAAACTCGTACTTGTCATCCGATGGTTTTGGTAACAGAGATATGGATAGTAGACACTGGGATGATGATAGCAGTAGAGACAGGAAACCCGACACTAGCTTTTCACAAAATTACTTTGACAAGCGCGACCAGAGATCCGGCAATTCCTACAGCACAGGCAACTCATCCAATCACCATAACATGCAAAACATCAATCCAAATATGCCACCATCAAGCATGCAGCATCATTCCAACTCCTCGCAGCAATCTTCGAAAATGGGTTCCCATCAAGGAATGGATGGACCCATGTCTCATATGATGCCCCATATGAATGTACCACCGCCTCCATTCCGACCAAATGGACCTCCACCGAACATGCAAGGCTTTGGTCCAGGCAACTTTCGACCTCCTAATAACAATTTTGGTCCCAATATGCATTTCCGACCAGGAATGGGTGGACCTTTCCAAGGCGGACCATTCAACAATTTCTCTGGACCACCACCAAATTTCAGACCTTCAAATCCAAATTTCGAGAGAGGTTTTGGTGGACCGAATTTCAGAGGTCAGAATACCAATCAACGAAGAAGATAGGACATGCAGAGCCTCGGTGCGGATTCTGAAGAATTCTGAGACGAGTTTACGAACTTGATGGACAAGGATTAAAAAAAAAGACTTTTGACGATTAATTCGTCAAGTCGCAGACTCGATACCCGAGAACTGTTTCTTAATTTTATTTTTCAATAAAATAAAACCATTGAGGCAGGCAATGAACACACACTATTTATCAAATAAACGTTTAAAATAATACAGTCTCGCTAAACCAATGACTAGAGCGCGGTCGAATCTTACAGAACTTACCGTGAAATTGTTTCTGACATCTAAGTTGACTGCACGTGATTTTCGCTGATACGCACCGCGCATTATTAAAGCATATGGCGATACACTCACTATGGCTATTAGTGAAATTTGCGAATAATGTTATTATGGAAATCAACAATTTTTTTTATTAAAACTTTATTGTGTAAATTCATAGGATTATGTACAATGCTGAAAAACGTAATGTGTATAAATAAATAGTGAAAAAATATATATTATTTGTTTAATTTTTTAGCAGTAATTTATAAATGTAATGCTGATTTTCATTACAGGTACATTTGTAATATCTCCAGATGGGGAATATTGTGTATGATATGAGCTTATTTAAAAATAAATTCAACATCAAATTTTTAATTGTACTGGTGGCATAAAATAATGCATTAATTAATCAAAATAAAATAAATTCAGGAAATAAAAAATGGTTTTACTTTTATAAGAACTGAAACTATCCATTTCAGCTCACATGTATATTATAACAAAGCGCACAAAAAAAAGGAATATTAACATTAAAAGTGCATGTTACTCGATTGATAATTGTAGAATCGATTTGCTCAACAATGCAGTAACTCGTAGATGCCTCGTCATGATTAATAAGTAGAAGTCATGGAGAGGCTATGCTTTTGCCTCCAATTTGGTTGTATTCTCTCTCTCTCTCTCTCTCCCTCTCTCTCTCTCTCTCTCTCTCTCTCTCTCTCTCTCTCTCTCTTTCCTTTTTATGCTTCGTGTTCCTTTCTCACCAGTTGCTACGAAAATCATTATTTCAGTTTCATTGAAATAAAAAAATATGTCGATACTTCATGGAAACGTTATATACGCTAACAATTTATAAATCTTTCTCAATATTATTTCTTATCATGAGAAATGATTAGAAAAAATTATACAGTTACTATTCAGACTAAGTTAAAATAAGATTTAAATTAGATTCACACTCATACAGACACCCATAGGTAAAATAGGACAAATGATATTATCACTATATGTATTATTCAATGATCTGGAATCAATGGAAAACATTTTCTATCTCCACATTATTTGAAATTAAAATTTTAATCTTTTATAATTTCCCTTCACAATTATAATTTTTATTTTACATAATTAATTTAAAAAAAGGAAAAATTATTTTGATTGTATAAGTAAAGGTACGTATATATTTCCATTTGAGATTCGGGAATCACAATTTCTATATTGGAAAAAAACTAAAAAAACAAAGTAATTCATTCCGATGTTTAGTCTTAACGTCAATGTATGCGTACGATCGACGCGCTCTCTAGAATCTATTGTAATCTTGATCTTGAATGAAAAAAGATAAAATAAGAATTACAAGTGAAAAAGTCGTCTCGTACTATGCTGTTCATTGAAGGTGAGTCAATTAAAGGGTTTATGAAAGCGTAGAGCAGAAAAAAGTAATATGGATTCTGTCTACAAAATAAAACAGCACGTCATGGTCATATAGAGCAGAGCTCGAAAAAGAAGTAATCTAATATTACGAGTACACAAAGAGGTGCTTTAACTACATGTATATATCTATTATATATATATATATATATATATATATTTATGTTCTGATATGTATGTGTTGCACTTTCATCTGTGTTGCTGTGACCTCTCGTGGCGCGAAATGGAAATAAACACGCAGGCGTTACTTTAATACAGGCACAGACAGCAACAGCATAAAAAGTAGACAGAAGCAGCAGACTGTTTTTTTATGTAACATATTAATAATAATCAAAGAAATTTGTAAATAAGTATGGAACCAATTTAAACCCCAAACGATTTGTTGAAAATAAATTAATAAAAAAATTTATAAATAAAAATCGAAAAAATGCGCTTATCTTATGCGTGTTATCTAGAATTAAGATTGGCATATATTTATTTACATATTCTCTAAGCTGATTTCTTTCATTATTATTAATATATTAAATAAAAACAACAGCCTGCTCCATGCTGTCTGTGTTAAAGCTCCCGTTTTTTTAGTTCTATTTTGCACCACAAGAGATCGCAGCAGTGTATATGTCCGACCTTATCTATATATATAGGCAGATCCTGAGAGAGGGAGAGGCAGAGAAAGAACAGCATCAACCTGCATCAAGCAACACTAAAGCTTCAGAGTGCGTCGAGTCAAAGCGATGCAGCTCCGCAAAGCATCTCAACACAATGAAACTCGGTCAAATTGTTAGGCATTTGATCCAAACAAACTGAGTTCATTGCGTCTTTTCGTAAATTTAGTCAAATTTAGAAATTTATGCAAATGCCAACAAGTTCAAGGCTCGAATTTTGGGCACAAGAAGGAACAACGAAGATAAATTAAGGTTAGTTGCGTTTACGTCATTTGTCTTTATGTGAATCAGCTGTCTCGAGTTGTTATTGTTACCTCTCGAGCAAGCAAATATTTTTTTTAAACATAAATACCATGAAAGACTATAGTCGAAGCACATTTTAGATGACCTTCAACAAGCAAATCCTATAATCGATGACGTTCTTTCGTTTATATGTTTTAATGCAATCTACGAAAACTGGTCATTGTTCTTTATAAATTATACGCATACGCATATTTATTCAAGCAAATCTTACAATATGTAATACTAAATATTCCGTCATTGAGCGTTCTTTAAAAAAACAAATATGCTTCATCCGTTTTCATTTCAGTTACATTTTTAATCCATTTCAATTCATTGTTTGTCTAGTGTATTTAAATAAATACATCTCAAGCCGTGTATTTATAGGCACAGTTAAGAATAACATTGTATTTTATGTTAAAATATTAAGTTTTAGAAATAATTAAATTAATGAATATTATTTCAATGATCAATTTTTCTTTAATTGTGTACTTTATTTTACTGCATCAGTTTAATCAACTCATTCAAACAGTAACTATTAAGTCAATCAATATTCCACAAATCACCTGCATTTTAGATGCTCTCATCAGCGTCATTGGTTGTAGTTAAAAGATCTTAATGACATGAAAAATGAAACGAGACACTGTTATTACCTGCATAGAAGCTAATCACAAAGGGAAGATGGTAAGGGTTTACTTCAAAGCAAATGGCTCTATTGATATTCATTGCTTCTGTAAAACATGCTATTTTATCAATATTACCCAAATAGGCTGCATGTCTATACAATTATCAAATTATAGAATTCTATGTAAACATTGTCTTGCTATTATGTATCTTACAAAATATGTATTTAAAATCTCCTCCAATAAATTCAAAACCATTTTAATGTTTTATAAGCTATATATTTAATATAGCAAGATCATGAAGGTAAATGTAAAATATAAGTATGACCAAATGCTTCTTACTGAGAAATAACAATCTAATTTATTATTATAAATGAATGCTTTTATTCTTCAATGTTTGTACAGTTTTGTTCAAAAATATTAAAATTCTGTCATATTATCAATGTATTATTTTTAATTTTTCAATAGTAATATTATTGAATTTTTTAGATGACAACGGTGCTAGATGGCAGTTACCAACAATTGGAATTAACAGTGGACAGGGATTCAGAAGATGACGTTCATGAGGAGACTCCACGGGATTCTGGTGTTATAATACATGTTGTACCAGAAGGTGGAAAAACGCAATGGAACCACATAGAAGATTTAGATTCATTTTTTACAAGAATGTACCATTACCATCAAAAACATGGTTTCGTATGCATGATGCTTCAGGAAGGTTTTGAACTAGCACAATTTGTTTTTGTAGTAATATTTACAGTATTTCTTTTTCATGGTGTGGATTACTCTATACTGTTTAGGTAAATTTCTTTAACTATTTACAGCTTACAAAGGAAATTGAAATATTATACTTAATTCTACATTTATTTTTCAGAGATAAAAGTGCTGGTAACAAAACTTCAATAATTGATGCTATAGTATCATCAAAAGAATGTTTAGCAAGCATGGGTTTATTTACATGGATTTGCATTCTTATAGCAAATATTTTCTGGTTGCTGCGACTCATTAAAGTTCTCTATCATTTTGTTCAGTTCTGGGATATCAAATGTTTTTTCAATGTTGCCTTAAAAATCAATGACAGTGATTTAGATAATTTAACTTGGCATGAAGTGCAAAAAAAAGTTATAGAAGTGCAAAAAGAGTTGCAAATGTGTATTCACAAAAGAGATCTGACTGAACTTGATATTTATCATAGGATATTAAGGTTCAAAAATTATTGGGTAGCCATGATAAATAAGTCTCTTCTTCCTGTACCACTTAAAATTCCGTTCATAGGAAATATTATTTTTATGACGAAAGGCCTAAAATATAATTTAGAACTGCTATTGTTTTGTAAGTAATGAATCTTTTTTCTCATTTCATCCACCATTATGTTACAAAATTAATGATCTTATATTCTTGTTACTAGGGGGACCATGGTCACCATTTGAAAATAGTTGGCACATCAGAGAAGATTACAAAAAAATACAGAAACGTCACGAACTTGCAAGAGCTCTCTCAAAGCATATATTATGGATTGGTATTGCTAATCTTGTCCTATGCCCTTTAATCCTACTTTGGCAAATTTTAAATACATTTTTTAACTATGGAGAAGTAAGTTTAAATGTTATAGTAATTATACTATTTATAAGATTATTAATTTAATGTAAGACTTTATCACTTTATTGTAGTTATTGAAAAGGGAACCAGGTACTCTTGGAACACGCATGTGGTCATTGTACGGCAGAGTCTACTTACGTCACTTTAACGAGTTGGACCACGAGTTAACAGCTCGACTGAATCGAGCCTACCGTCCAGCATCTAAGTACATGAGCATGTTCACATCCCCGCTGTTGACAATATTCGCCAAAAATATTGCATTTGTGTCAGGAAGCATATTCGTCGTCTTCTTCATTTTGACAATGTACGACGAAGACTTTTTACAAGTCGAACACGTTCTTATGATCCTAGCAGCAACTGGTGGCATTGCTGGTATTGCCAGATCTCTTATACCTGATGAAAATTTAGTATGGTGTCCTGAAAGTCTACTTACTGCGGTTCTTGCTCACACACACTATCGACCAGACAGTTGGCGAGGCCAAGCTCATACTCAAATGACCAGAGCACAAATGGCTCAACACTTCCAATACCGTGCGGTGCATTTATTGGAGGAGCTCATATCACCTCTCTTGACGCCGTATATTTTGATTTTTAAATTGAGATACAAAGCACTGGATATAGTTGATTTCTATCGCAGATTTACTGTCGAAGTGACCGGGGTGGGAGACATATGTAGCTTTGCTCAAATGGACGTAAGAAAACATGGAAATCCTATGTGGCAAACTTTGGCTCACAGTCCTCATGTCAAGGACACCGACATGACTGATTTTGGAAATATTGGAGTGGCACCGACCGAAAAACATATTCCTCTGATATCCGACAACATTACTCAAGCCGAAGATGGCAAGACTGAATTATCATTAATACACTTCACACACACAAATCCCGATTGGAAACCGCCTGGATATGCCGAAGTCTTCGTTGCTGCTTTGCGTGAAAGAGCTAAAAAAGAAGCAACGAACGTAGGATATTATGATACCAATCCTCTTTATGCTAGCTTGAACAGCCTGTCTTGCTTAGGGCCAGAGGTAAGTTTTGAATAATATTTTAATGATTTATTGCTCATTATATTAAATGTTTGCTTTGTAGTACAATGGTGTAGTTTCAAACATTCTCCGAAGTACGATAACGCCTCAGATGAATATAACAAGTCAATATTATCAGCCTATGCCAGGAATGTCATCGGATCGTTCCATCACTGAGCCTATTTCTGACAGTATTAGCCATATTGATGTAAATAGGCAAGAAGCAAAAGCTATGCACCGAGGAGTTAGTAGAGCAGAAGGACCATTGCATATTGGTGAAAGAAGTTTGCTACATAGCTTACAACAAGCTACTGGAATAATAAATCAGTCATTGGAAACATCTATACTCGGCACTGCTACAGACATAAATGCCGAGGCTTCTGTTCCTCTGGAGTTGACGGCTATAGATATGTCTCTTTCTACATTGTACCTGCATGAACTTCATCATAGACAAGTATGATTTATTAATTACAATATCTATTTATTTAACGGATAATATAAAATCTTCAAATAAATTTACAGGTTCGAAGGAGAGGATACCGCGAAGTAACTGCTAGAAGTATATGGCAACGAAGTCCCCTCCAAGAATTGGAAATTTTACCAGAATTAGGACAAGAAAGAGCTCCATTACTTCAACATCAAGATTCTTCCATTAGAAGAGAAATGGACCGAAAATAGTAACTGGAAATTATTTACTCCTATAACTCGTTTTCATAATTTATCGACTTTACATATGACGTCTCATTCAAGTTAATTTGTATTTACATTACATCCAAATTAAATGCTTATAACCTGATGTGTCTATTACAATCGCAATTAGTTTTTTACGTTTGGATGGCGATCAATTAAACGTTTAAGAGAAAATAGCACAAATTCAAAACTATTTATCGTTTTTTTTATGACGTCACTCGACAATCTAACAAATAGTTTTATTATACTACCTTAAATTTAATAGGTTTTTGCTATGTTGCAAACATTTATTAGATAAAGTTAATTTACTCAGTAACTATAATTTTTAAGTCCTTTTTCTCTAGTCATTCTAACATAAAATTATAAGCTGTTTACATGATGTGCAATGAATGAATCGCATGTTAGAAGTTCAAAATCGCAATTGCTATCGTATTACTAGTGAAAAAGTGTTGACGTTATTAATTTGAATATCTATTTTCTAAATGAATCAATTCTCAAGTTAATCTGAGCATATAAAACAAAAATTGTTAATAAGTAGATAACAAGGAATGCTTTTGGATTGATTATGGTTTCGAATTATTTATTCAAACAATAATAAGCTATGAAATATAACTAGCACACTGCAGGTGAAGAATAATGAATGAAATGTTAATTATTTCCCTATATAATATTTGTAGGCCGATTCCGTTAATAAGTTTCTTTTCTGCAATATATAATTTAATCTTTTGTTTCAATAACGTGGTTGTTATAGAATGTAAGAAACGTTTGTTAATACAATATTTGAAGTGATTTAGAAACTAAAATGTCTATAATTAAGGCTGGTGTTTCGAAAATGACATCGCATGTAATTATGGTGTAAATACGTTTTGTAAATATAATATCTTTTATAATGTGAGCATTAAACAGAATTACAATTTACTCTTGATACCGTTATTTATTTTTCCTGTGATACATTATAGTTATAATGTAAATATTTCTGCACGAATATAACATTTTAATTTTAAAACTAGTAAAATTATGGTGTGACGGTATATAAATGTACGTTGATGAAGAATAGGAAAAGAAAAATGATAGCATTAATCTATTGGTCCTAATTCGTATTCTATGGGTCAAAATATCCATGTATTAAAAAGTTTGTTTTCGATGTATTCCGTGTGTTCGGATGCATGTATATCGATGTACGATCGGGTACGTGGAACGAATAGAGAACCACTAAAATCTCATGTACAAGTCACATTTTACTACAAAAATTATATTTTGCAGTTATTTTGTAATTGAAAGAATGTTGTCCGATAAATTTAGATAAAAACTTTTGGTTTTATTTTATATCTAGAATTTGTTGGATATAATTTTAAATCAAAAATAGGTTTAATTCTAAAAATGAAATAATTAGTTTGTGATACTGAAATATGTAAAATAAATTATAGACTGTAATTTATCTAAATATCTTGAAAATACTGCGTTAATTAGTAAGCTCCAATTTAGTTGTACATTTTAACGGATCATTATTCATTGCCAATTAGAATTTTTCCTTGAAAAATTGTATCAATGGTTGCACTTGTTCAGATGCAAAATTAATATTGAAAACTCCTGATAAAACGATAAGCATTTCTTGTAAATTACTTCCTAGTTATTGTGAAACCAGTTGGCTACAAATAATCTATCGTCTGTGAAGGAATTTGATGATATTTTCGATATTTTGCTTGAGTGAAATATATTAAATTACGATTATGACAATAATAGCTCTTCCAGTGTATAAAGTGTACTGATCAGAGCAAATATCACCAACATTTGATTTATATACAACATGTCTTAAAACTACCTGCATATGTGAAATGACTATTAGTTATACTCGTATTTTTATAATTTGCAAACTCCAGTTGACCTAAAATTTTCTTGTTTATATTGCGCTGTACAGTCGGAATGTGGTAAATTAACGCGTTCCTCTTGATTGTTTCTACGTTTAATACGTATGTATATATGTATATACATAAACTGAATGATCGTCATCAATATTTTTAGGCATTTGATTGATCATTGCATTAAAATTAGTTTTCAAACTAAAAAAAAGGTTAAATATTTGAATTGCTAAGTTATAAAAATGAAATGTTTTTGGCATCAACTTCAAATTCTTCTTTATTTTTAGGTTATATTTTATGTTTTACTAAATAATATTTTTATTGTTAATTTAACTTATTTAAATCAACATTGGTTTTATGACGGACATAATCAGTGTAACCGTGCAAGCGCAACGTCCAAGTACGCATGATCATCACAATAAAGTCTCAGCACCTTAGCACTGTTCCAGCGTATGCATTGACATATGCAGTTCTAAACTCCAGCTAGTGGGTAAAAATGGCAGCAGACGAAAAGTTAATTTTTTCGAAGATTGTCCAACATTTGGCAAGATCACTTGCCGCGATTAATAATACACCATGGGATAAGGTAATTCAAGATTATTTTGCTATATTTTTATTTTGTAAAAGTTCGCTTCTTTTGTTAATCAAGTAAGTAAATGATGTATTTACGGATTGTTGGGTTATAATTCACCTTGAGCTGTCAAAAGATTAGTTTTGTCATTCGTTTTAAATGCTGCATTTAAAAGGAAATGATCAATTAAATGTCATGACTTTTTTTACAATCTTTAATTCTGCTAATACTTATCTGATATTTTCTTAAGTTGATTTCTTCTAAAATTTGTATGTAGCTTTCAAATAAAATTATTACTTTGTAAAAATGAACTGCATAGAATAACTTCTGTATTTTGTAGGTAAATTGGCTTTTCAAAAGATGTCCCCAAGATTCTGGAGGTGTTTACAGATTAGACCAGAGAGGCCAAGATGCAACCATTGCACTTGGCATTTATTTATTGGAATCAAATCTACAGCACAGAGAACGAATAATCCCTTATCTACTTCGATTGTTGCGAGGTTTACCTAAAGCTGTATGGTTGGATGAATTGCCTTGCGTATTATTGGGCAGAGTTCCAGTAGCAGAACGCTTTAGCTTTTGTTTGAATACTCTTTTGAGTGATATAGCAGCAAGATGTGAACCAGTCAGAGAAGAAATTATTGCTACTCAAGTTGAGATTCTCGCAGTTCTAACTAATCTTGTGAGAGGATGTATGGATCAAAATAATGGAAGGGGAATGCAAGCAAAGAGTAAGATTAATCTAATATGTACAACTAATAATTCAATAATTTAGTATTAACAAATATTTTATTTTACAGTAACACTATGCAAATGCTATGTATCTATTTTAATTGGATTGGCAAGATCAATGGGACGTTTTGCTTGTAGTGGACCTCCATTACTTTGTAGAATTTTTCCACGTCCAGAGCCACCAATGCCAGAGTACAAAACTGAAAATCCACTTTTCTCAGAGAAGAAACAGCATAACTTCACCAATTTTAGGTCTATTATTCCTCGTTCTTTGAGTAACAGTCTAAATTCCCAATTGAGCACTAGCTCTGGTCAGACAAGTTTTCAATCTAGCACTGAAAGTTCTACTATAAAAAAACCATTTTTAAAATCTTATTTATCTGTACCATATGACCCAAAGATTTACTTTTTCAATCGATATGGCTCTAGTTTTAATCAATTCCCTCAAATGCGATGCAATGATGAGCTACAGAAGAAAATAGGTTTACAGTTCAGTGTTATACATTTACAAAGTATTCTTGCTCTAGCCAAAAAATTACTTACCAAAGAAACTTTATCATTCCTTGATGATGAGGCACAGCAGGTACATTATCAGGTTTATTATTTTGTTGGAAAAATAGAATGCTTTTATACTTTTTATAATTACAGGTCTATTCATCACGACTTGTACAGATTTTTCCTTATCGAACATTTAGTGAAACTATGAATTTAGTTATGGTAGCTCTTTTACGAGAATTACTGCAAGGTCAACACGATTTACCTGCTCCCTTCACTAGAGATATTCAAGAGTTTATGAAAGGGCTTTTTTTATCAGGACAAACTGAACTTCAATCAAGACAACAGCATGATGCCAGTGAAAGAGAAGATATGGATACAGATTATAAAACTGTTAATAGATTTAAAATGAATGTTATGGCTAATTCTGCTTGTGTCGATATTTTAGTATGGGCTATTGGTGATGAAACAGGTTGGTTTATTTTTTACTTTGTTGCAAACAATGATAATTTATGTTTACAAATATATAAATGTAAATAAATAAATTATGTTAGATCAATTAAACACTTTGTCTTCAAAAAGTGCTCATTTTTAATTAAACATTTATGTTTTTTACACTGCTGTAGTTTTTAAATTCAATCCTTTGAAGTCATTAAAAATTTAAACTTCGATATATTCCATTATTTAGGAATTAAGTGATCTTTTACAATATTAGAGTAAAAGATGAATTATGCAAGTAAATGGTAATATACTATTTTACAGTAAAAGGCGAATATGATCTATCTGCATTATTTGCAGATCTTCATTCCATGCTGCTTGGTGCCGGTATCCTTGTTTATTTTTCCATTTTAGTTTTGTGTTGATTATTTTGTTTTTAAACTTTTTATTACTTTATAGATTCCTTTAACTAATGCTTATGGATATACTTACATGACTACAAATGAGCCTAAAGAATTTTAATCCCGTTTTCACAAATATCTGAATTTTTATGTGTGTGGGTGTGTGTGATATTGTGAAATTAAACTAGATGTAGTGATGGTCATCTATTTTTTCTTTCTAATTGTTTCTATTACAAATTTACAGGTGCCGACAGTTTATGCAGTCGATTGACAGAAAAGATATATTCGAATTACAGTCACAAATTAGTTTTAGCACACATGCCATTGTTGATGGTATGTCTTGATGGGTTGGGTAAACTCGCTCAAAAATTTCCGAATATTGCCAGTACGTCGATATACAATCTGAGGGATTTTCTAGTCACACCATCGCCGATCCTTTTGAAATTACACAAACAATGCTACGAGCAATCATCGAGAAACCATTTCAAAATACCTGGTGATAAGATTGAAAAAACAAATAAATATTTGAAATTCATCAATCATAATCGTGATAAATACGTATGGTGTTTCAGATAAAAATGGCGGTATTTTCTTAAAAGAGAAGCTAAATCCAACTCAACTAGCTTTTGAAACTCTGAGAGATGCGGCTATCAGAAACCTTTGCATTGCTCTCGAAGCTGCTTATTCTGTAGATTCTGATTGTGTACCCGCGCTTGTCGCAAGTGTATCAAATAGACTTTTTACTGCTGAGAAAAATAATAGGTATGTTTTTTTCTGAACTGTTTTTATCTATTTATCACGTTACAATATTTTTTAATTTATTTGTATTTTATAGCGAAAACGACGAGGGTTTGATAAGCGATTTAGTTTCGACGAACATAGTGATAATGATGGGCCATGTAGCTGTGGCTCTAAAGAATAAACCGAAGTCTACACGACCGATATTACAATTTTTCCAACAGCGTTTCTGCCACACTCCCAGCAGGCCTGACGTGGATACTTTGATTGTCGACCAACTGGGTTGCATGGTTATAGCAAAATGCGACGAAAAGGTATCTTAAATAACTCATTAAGAGAAAAAGATGTTGACTGCTATTTGGCCAACAACATGACCAAAGATGAACTGCCGTGAAACGACCGTTGATCAGAATTCAACATTGCAGATACACGAGGAAATAATGCGAATGTTCTCGCACTCTTTGTCATCGAACGACGACCGCAAGCAGTACCGCCATGTATGCGGTGCGGTAACCAATGCCTTAGCCAACATAGCAGCAAATCTCGAAGGCGAAAAGGAAATAAACAATCTACTGCTGAAGCTACTTGAACTTTTCGTTCAGCTTGGTCTCGAAGACAAACGTACTTCCGACAAAGCTGGCACGGTTAGCAATGTGGCTCCGGTACGTTATCTTTGAAGATTTTTCCGCGTGGTCAAATTATTAACGAAAGCTCATATGTGTATTTTCAGAGGGGACGCAGTAACGCCGGTAATCTAGGAGTCCTGATACCCGTAATCGCGATTCTGTTGCGACGGTTACCACCGATTCGCAACCCGCGGCAGCGGGTTTTCAAGCTCTTTAAGGACTTCTGGCTTTACTGCGTTATACTGGGCTTTGCCTCAGACTCGCTGCCACGTCTTTGGCCTGCCGATTGGCATGAAGGTGTCAAAGAGATTGCCGTCAAGTCACCTTATCTCGTTTCCGCGGACACGAATACAAGAATCGAGATGCGTGAGTTGCAATATACTGCCGCTGTGCGTAACGATACTGTGTCGATGAACGAATTACAAGAGCTTAGGAGTCAAATTCTTAAGATGAACAGCAGGTTTGTGACGATAAACGTCTCGAGAAGTCTGAAAGCACAAGGGCTTATATTTTTTAACTATTCTTGTTGTTAGTCTCTTTGGAGAAATTCGCCATGAGAAATTAAAAGAAAAATGAATGGTCATTCCAGGTCAAGTGAAATAACTGCATTCGTTCAAAAAATGCAATTCGCTCAGTGTACTTACCTGTTGTCAGTGTACTATCTGGAAACATTGAGAGTAGCTAACAGTCCAGAACCAAGTCTTCAGCCGATAATGGAGTATCTTAGTGACACCGAGTTACAAAAAGATAAGAATGGTATGTGGCAGTGCATCTGCAGTGTTGGCGACGCCGTGTTTACCAAGTTCAAGGACGTGATGCAGCGCAAACCGAAGAATGAGCAACGCGAACGCGAGCTCGAAAAACACGCTCAGTTCCTGCTCGTATACTTCAATAACGTCCACAAGCAGATTAGACGCGTTGCTGACAAGTATTTGTCGGCATTGGTTGATGCTTTCCCTCACCTGCTGTGGAATTGCCGAGTACTTTGGTGCATGCTGGATATATTGCAGGTACTCTCGTTTTCATTACAGCTCGATCCCAACGAGGAAACGCCACAGCTCAAGGTTCCCGAGACCACTTACAGCATTCAATTGATGGAAAGAATTGAAGACCGAGAGGTACGCTCTTAATTTTATGGCTTTTAATCATTGATTTATCTCGCAAATAAAACTTCAAACCACACATAATTTCCAGAGCATTGTCAAAGACTTTACCGCTAGATGCAAAGGCATCGTTCAAGAGGCCATGAAATGGGCACCGCAAGCGACACGATCTCATCTCCAAGAGTACATCAAACAATTTCAATCATCCGGCTTGTGTCACCACTCAGGTTTAGCTTTAGCTATGGACTCGGTTCTCGAACTCGTAGACTTGTCGAGCCATGGACCAGCAATGGGACCACAAGGCACGAGCAACTCCCTTGACAAGCGCCCGCGCATGAAGGGCGCAAGCTCGTGGTTGTTGCTGCTGATGACGACACGCTCGTGGTACGCCGGCGAAGTCGCCGGCATCTTAAATCTAGTCCGCGGCGATACTCCCGATCAGCCCAGCGACGAGGAGATCACCAACACGGTCGTCAACCGGCTTATTGACGAGCTGTGGCGTGCCTGTCGAAAGGGCGATGAAAACGAGCATCACAGTGCTCTGTGGCGAGCGACTGCTCTGCTTATTTCGATTCCCGGAATACACAGGAGGCTGCTACACACGGTAGCGTGCTCGCAGATAGAATTGTTTACTCGCACGACCATGAACACCGCCGTCGAGTGCTGGCAGTGGATGTTAACCGCTCGGCCGGACCTCAAGCTGCGTTTCCTACAGGAGATGCTCGCCGCATGGCAGTACACCGTAGACAAACGTATGGGCGTGTTTTCAGTCGAGGAGGAACAGGTCAATCCTTTGGCCGTGTATGAGGGCTGCAAACTCGGGCCGAATCCTCCGTTAGTCAAACCACATGAGATTTGGGTAAGCTTCATCGTAGATCTCGCCGAGACGGCAAAGTATTGCTGCCAGGAGACCGTCGAGATGATAGCTCTCTTGCTACATCGCTCGCTGCCTATGACCGTGGGCTCGTTCAAGGACGAGCTACACTTGAATCGCCACGTCGCCGCTGTCGGCGTACGCTTCAAGCTACTATCCTGCGGACTGCTCTTGCTTCAAGGCGACATTTTGCCGCGCTCGCTCAGCAAAAACGTGCTTCGCGAGCGTGTTTACTGCAATTGCCTCGATTACTTCTGTCGTGAACGACAAACGCCGACTCAAGAACTCGACCAACTGCGTGACGATATCGCTACGTTGATTCGTTTCTGGCAAGTGATGCACAGCGAAAAAAAGTACTTGATGATGTCGAACGCCGAGGCAGAGCTCGATCTTATCAGACATCCACCGCCAGTTGACTCGCTTCTCAGCACGACCATTGGGGCTGCAGCTGGAGCTAGTATGGCTGCTGCTGCGGCTGATGTTGCTCGATCACCCGCTTCCAGCTGGATAAGCACGGTACCTCTTTCCGCGAGCAGTAATACCTTAAGTAAACGCAGCAATCGTAGTAAACGTCTCGTTGCGGCTAATCTCTATGTCAAGGACTATATAAGGAAAAGAAACCTCATTCTCGAGCTACTAGCTGTCGAGATTGAGATGTTGCTGGTTTGGGCAAATCCAGGTAGTAGACAAGAGCTTGCGATACCAGGCGAACAAAGCATCGCCGAGTGGCGATCGAAGTCGATGACCGACCGTTGGCGCGATTACACTCGCTTGGCTTGGGAAATTAGCCCTGTGCTTGCGATCTTCTTACCGGTGCGTTTGAAGAACGCGGACTCGATCATCAAAGAAGTTTGTAGGCTCGTGCAGCTACAGCCTGTGCAAGTGATGCACGTTTCCGAAGCTCTGCAGTATCTTGTCACCACGGAGACTCTTCTGAACGACACTCCCAAGGTAAATATTTGTCATGTTTCAAATCAAAACCCTCATATAAGTGTGTATGCTTTATCGTTGTTTGAATTATAGCTGGTATACATGTTGACGTGGGCAAGATGCTTGCCAATCGAAGCATTGGCATACTTCTCGAGGCAGTTCCCGCATCATCCGATTTCCGCTCAATTCGCAGTCAACGTATTGGAAAGCTACCCAGCTGATGCGGTACTGTTTTACATTCCACAACTTGTGCAAGCCGTGAGGCATGATTCTATGGGTTACGTAACCGAGTTTATCAAAGCCATCGCCAAACGCTCACAGGTACGTTGCTTGAAAATATATAAGTAGAAATACGACGTATGGTTAATGGATAAATATTGCGATAATCTACAGATTGTGGCTCATCAACTCATATGGAACATGCATACAAATATGTACATGGACGAAGACAAACAAGTAAAAGATCCCGTTCTTTTCGATACGCTGGACGCGCTCGTTAAGAATATTCTGGGTGCTTTGTCGGGACCAGCCAAGCAGTTCTATGAACGAGAATTTGACTTCTTTGAGAAAATAACCAACATATCTGGCGAAATCAGGCCTTATCCGAAAGGCCCTGAGCGAAAGCAGGCTTGCCTTGATGCTTTGAGGAAAATTGAAGTACAGCCTGGCTGCTATCTGCCTTCGAATCCTGAAGCGATGGTCATTGATATTGATAAGGATAGTGGCACGCCTATGCAGAGTGCCGCGAAAGCTCCGTTCTTGGCGAGATTCAAAGTGCAACGTTACGGTATCAAAGAGTTGGAGAACATTGCAATGGCGGTGTCTGCTAATGGTAGGGTAGAGGTCAAGAGTTCCGGCGAAGAGACATGGCAAGCTGCTATCTTCAAAGTCGGAGACGATGTGAGACAAGATATGTTAGCTTTACAAGTTATCAGCATTTTTAAGCATGTTTTTGAACAAGTTGGGCTTAATCTATTCCTGTTCCCATACCGAGTTGTCGCTACCGCACCTGGAGTAAGTGCTTATTCTATTCACTGCTTCGGTCATTAAGCTGACGTGAAGAGAAAACTGATTTATATATATTTTTCAGTGTGGCGTTATCGAGTGCGTGCCTGATGCAAAGTCACGTGATCAACTTGGTCGACAAACTGACTACGGGATGCACGAGTACTTTGTTTCGGTACACGGGGATGAGTCATCCAAAGCCTTCCAAAACGTTCGACGTAATTTCGTTAAATCCATGGCAGCTTACAGTGTCATTACTTATCTGCTTCAAATCAAAGACAGACACAACGGCAATATAATGATTGACAAACAAGGTCACATTATTCATATCGATTTTGGATTCATGTTCGAAAGCTCTCCAGGTGGAAATTTAGGTTTTGAACCTGATATTAAACTTACGGATGAAATGGTTCTGGTTATGGGTGGAAAAATGGAGGCTGCTCCATTTAAATGGTTTATGGAACTTTGTGTCCAAGCGTTTCTAGCAATAAGGTATATTTTCTCTTACAATTTACTTTTGACTTAGTCAACAGACCATACGTCATTTGTCTTTTCATTTCAGGCCCTATCAAGAAGCTATTATATCGTTGGTTTCCCTCATGCTTGATACTGGCCTACCTTGTTTCCGGGGCCAAACTATCAAATTATTAAGAAGCCGTTTCGCGCCAATGGCTACTGATCGCGAAGCGGCCACTTTCATGGTTAATGTTATCAGAAACAGTTATTTGAATTTCCGTACTAAGACTTATGATATGATACAATACTATCAGAATCAAATTCCGTATTAATTGAAACATGAAAGCTTCTTCAAAATCTTATTTGTAACATATATACGATAACATTAATTTGATGGTAAATTTGAAACATAGACAACGTTGAAAGTCCACAATTTTACATTTTTTTTGTGACAGTATTATGCAAAATATTGTATGTTTCTCTTTCAATTAATTCTTTTGACTCTATATTATTTTATGCTTAGTGAACAATGTACTTAATAAGATGCAACATTCCTGCATGTAACAGTGATTTGTGAATAGCACTAGATTAATAATATATTGAAGTTGTTGAGATCAATTTTATTTTTATTCGTCATTCCTAATTGTTACGCATAAGTAATGTATATACTACTGTGATTTTGGGTAAAAAACTGTTTGGATTTTTCTCTGAAAATATATATGGTTGATTGTTAAATACACAGGTATGATTAACAATTTATTATTTTTCCTTTGTATTTGTTGAAAATGTATCCTATCCTTAAATTAGTTTATTTTTTAAATTTCAGTTGGCAAAATTATGTTTTCTCCTAGGTGAAAAAAATCTTTAAGTATTTGAAAGTAAGATATTCATAACTATTCACATCTACCTTTATTGATTTTTCCAGTAGCTATCAGCAATGAAATCTAATAGTTTTTATTCCAAGAAAAGAAAATTGATCAACTTTTCTTACATAACATTGTACCACACTAAGTATTTACACTGACTAAATAAAAATTTACCTAAATTATCAACACTTTAATAATCATTTTATTTTAATTACAATCTGCCTTATTCTGGGTTGTAAAATTTTCCAGGAGTAATAAGTTTATTTTCTGAAGGTTCTTTTCTGTAACAAAAAATATTCAAGACTTATGGACATATACTCAAATATATTATAAATCTTATTTAAAACTCAAAGATTTTTGAACAATCAGAATATACAAATACAAATAAACCAAAAATTGTTTACATTATGACGCAACAAAAATGGAATCTTAATTTTCTATGTATCCACAATATACTGTACAATTAATTTAATATCATGTGAGATAGATCTCGATAGATAGATGATAGATTTTTCAAAATTATTGCTTAAATCTACTTAAGTGAACTTAAGTACTTACTTAGACTGTAATTGTTTAGTTATATCAACTACTTCTGGTGGCTGGACTTCTCGTCGACCATCTCTTGTGTAGTAATAAATGTCTGTAAGTTTAGCATAAGGTCCACCAGGTAGATTTGGTTGTGGTTGAGTACGAGCAGCTAGTTTGTCAGTAAATCTGAGAGGATTGGCTTTTAAGGGTCTCTGAAATTCATACCATTAATATTGAATGATTTTTGAGATCTATAAATTATTACAATCCTTATCATCGCATAAATTTTGAAAATGTATTCATTTCTTTATGAAAACATTGATTTTCAAAACAATATATATTGTAGAAACTATTTATTCATGAAAATTCATGATAGAATAATTCTAGAATTCACTTACACCTCTGAGAATTCCACGAAGTAAATTAATGAGGGGACCAACATCTCGGTTTGGCAATGTGCGTGACATTTTGTAATATAACACTAAAAATTTATTAGCCTTAAAAAATTAAAAACTGATCAATGTAAAAACAGTTGCTATGGTGTTCCAGTTCTTAACTATAAATATTGGTTATGCGGGCTCAATATATATCGTCTGCTAACTGCTTTCAGTTTTTAGGGTTATAATTCTAGGGATTGTAGTCGACTGTTTTAAGAGCGGGAAGCTTAAGAAACTGTCGAGTTGTATTATAAATGTGTCATAATATCAATTACTAATACTTGTCGGAACCTTTAATAACATAAATTTTATGTATTTCAATAAAGATTTTCCGAAAGTAACGTGTCTAGATACATAAATATGTAAATTTGATTAAATAAAACTGGTTATTGATTTATGAAGTCAACTATAATTTATTATTTCCATCAAGTGATTGAGTATTGATCTCGACTTAAGGTCAGTATGTAGTATTACGTAAAATATTTTTATTATATATTATCATTATTGTTTGTGCTTTTTTCTTAAAGTATAGTGGAGTAAGAATTATGCACAGTGTTCGAAAAATGATTAAACGTTAAAGAATAAGCAAAGTATTTGCTTTACTATTTTTAAATATTCAACTTCATGAACGTTGGCGACTTAAGTATTTCAAAGCTTAAATTACATATTTTACTCTAAAATTTACTTATCTGCGTTTTTCACGTGTAAGGAAAAACTACATTAGAAACTAGATTTGACAGTTTGACGAATATTTTATCTTTTTTTAATAAAGCACATACTTTAATCAAATTCAGTTATTTCTAATACGAAATTTTTAAGCTGGTAAATAAAATATATGAATAAGAAAATTAACGTTACTTTTAGATAAATGCGTATTTCAAGTTGATCAAGTTACCGTTGATACACAAAAAAAAATCTTATCATTCTTAGACATCAATATTTTCTGTAACGTCTCAATTGATAGAGTGAACGTTATTGTAACATCAGTATGTTTCGATAGAGCCATGTTCTATATTATTTTAAAATAGCTTTATCGCTAGATTAAACAATAAATTGATAATTATGTCGAGGAATTCATTCAAATATATAAATGAATTTGGTCGGATATAATAAACGTACTTATATTACAAATAGCCATCGACAAAATAATACATACGGCGTCTGTTTGTCAAACTTTTATTCCGATCAATAATGTTATCTACATATTGCACAGTATCTGTAATTATATTTAGTTAATGTATTATCTTGCTCACTATTACTAACAGACGTGACTAATATTAGCTTTTATAAATGGATTTTTCTATCAAGTGATATATACTACTTTTGATAATTGTAACTTAATCAATTTCATCTACAATTGTTGACATAAGATCACATTTTACTTGGCTAGTTTTCATTTAATATTATTTTCTGGTTATTCGTATGTGTTTATATATATCATCCATTTTCATCAATAGAGTAAGAAAATTCATGAAATAGTTAATCGATGCTTAATGGATTATGAGCACCAAATAATTCACGTCAAATTAACTGTTGAGCATTGCATTTATACACGTACCCCGTGCTTCAAATGAGATCTTATAGTAATTTATTGTTTGAGCTACATCAGTTTGCCAATCATTTATTACGTGTCAATTGTTGAGTATACTGTTTTTACACTTTTCTCGATCAGTAAATCAATTTCCACTATAAGTACAAAATATTTCATTTGGTGTCGAATTGTAAATAGCAATTGCTCTTTGTTTATATTGTAGGTGCTATACTAGATCTACCTTGATATGATGTTGGAATATAAATAATAAACGAATCATTTTATGATCAGTCATCATGAGCATTTATTATAAATAATTAGTGTAATTTCAATGACATTTCAACAAAGCTCTAAAAAATTCCCGATCAACGGTTTCGTTATAAAATATTAATGTGTTGTAGAAAAAGATCATTCTTAAGTACACAAATATAGATTGGAAATGATAATTAATATAATGTTGAAACTATAAAATATGTACTACAACCATTTATCTTATTGTGTATTTAATTTTAATAATGCATTCAAATGTTATTACGATGAGTTATTTGCATTGAAAAATGTGATGAATTCTATTTGTAGCGCATGCTAATTATTGAACTAATTTCCATTGATCAAATCAATATACCGTGTAACTATGTATATCGCTAAATGAATTTATATCCCGACTTTCTGAAGGCACCATTGTTTGGCTCTCTGTACATACAGTGTAATAGTTGCAACAGTAGATCAATTTAGAATGTTTATAGCTGGGAATATATACGACGAAATGATGTTTGGGAAGTGTTTATTTTACTTTTTCAAAATATTTGGTGTAGCGACAACCAGTGTAAACGCTTCTTGCAAAAGCAAAAGTGATTCTCGTCACAGTATTTTTACCGCTTCCAAATTGGGCATCGTCTATAACATATCTCTCTGTATACTTTTGGTGCCATCCAATTATGTTTCTATTTTATCTCATTTTTACAATAATAATAAACGAAGTAGAAACTTTTTCGAAAAAATATTTGACGAATCAAGCGCTTGCATTGCGTTGTCAGCTACCGTACTCGTTTTGATTAAATTTGGATTCTCGCAGAGAGATATAATTAGTATCTCTGAGAAAATGAACGGAATCAGGAAATCAAATTTAATCATAAACGGAAAAATGTATAACGAAGAGCTCGTCTTTAAAAATATAACTATTATGTTTCTCATAATTATATCATTGTGGAGCCTCTCAACAGCTGCCTTGTATATGGCTAACGAAACGTTTATCTTTCTTGTGACCATACCTTCTTGTATAGACAATTTCATTGTCACTGCAGTAATATTGCAGTACTGCGCTATTCTACAGTTTCTCGAGCGACCCTTTAGCATCATCAATAGCGAGTTGTTAGATTTTTCAACGAATATTGCCACTGCGCTACCTTCGCAAAAGCTTATTCTTCGAAGCATCAAATCGACCAAATTATCGGAAATACGACAGTTGTACGAAGCGCTATACGACGTTTCTAGATGTATATCGGATTTTTATTCCGGACCAATGTTACTTTGCATTTTACAAATTATAGTCACTTGCACTTACTCAGCTTACTTTTTGGCCAAACCGATTGTTCTTGGAAAAATGATACCCATACTCGATATTATAAACGGCCTGTGCTTTGGGTTAGTGTATGTGGTCCTTCTCGTTATCTTGACAAACTGTGTTACAGCTACTGTTACCGAGGCAAGGGCCGAACATTGCTTATGTAACACCTTATTTAAATGAAATCGTTTCACATTTTAATAATTACTGTTGAATTTATAGAGCAAAAAAACTGGGGAAATTATCAACAAGTATCTGATGAATCAAGCTAATATAAGGTTAATAGAAGAGGTAAGATTATACTAATATGTTATCTGAATGATCGACGGAAATGATAGACTCATTTGATTCAACAGTTGAACCAGTTTTCCCATTATCTAGTACATGCCAAGGTTGAGTTTACTGTCTATAAACTTTTTTCTTTGGATCAATCTTTACTTGTGTCGGTATGTAGCATTACACAATTCGGAAAGTATTACTATTTTATTGATTATGAAATTTATTTACAGATTTTAGGTGCTACGTCGACTTATCTAGTTGTAATTTTGCAGTTTCAGTGAGCTAATCGCGAATGTAAGAATACAACTTTGTCCCGATGAACAATTCATTAAATTGCGGTAAAACAATGTAGGATAAATAAAAACCATGAAAAACTATTACATCAAGTTATTATTCGAGCGAAATAAACATAGACAGCAGCTTCTACGCTGTGTTACACTTATGTTGATTATGTCGTTTGATATGGTTACTTACTTCAGTCAAGTCGTAATCATTGTTTTGTATTTCACCAAAAAACAACGATTTAAAATCAGCCATGATTTGCAACATTTTCTAAAATCAAATCAGTTTAAAAAATAATGTTTGTTCGTCGATTAGTCTATATTATTACAAATTCTTTAGAATAGCATGTATGACTGTAAAAAAGATATAAGGGAAAACCCTGAATCGATCAACATTTATTCGCAGTTTTGAAAGTAGGCGTTACACATAATGCTTGTTTATTGTTTATCGTCGTAGTGTCAACTTGCTTTGGTATAGAAGTTACGTATGAGTTTTATCATCAGAAAACGGTGGTATTTGACCAATATTATAGCGTAGCTATGGACTATTTATCACTGGCCATTGCTACTTAGTATTCAATAGTAGTTCTTAATAGCAAACTATATAAAGAAAATCTAATTTTTATGGTGCATAAAAATTAATACTCTTTACTTGAAAAGTGAATTTTTTTTTATTCTTTGCTCGTCTGTATAACCAGCCTCGTTACCACTGCTTTGATAATGCAATACAATACTGAATTAAAATTTTTAGCAAGACTGTTCAAAGTTATCAATGACGAATTAATTGAAATAACAAGAGAATCAATCACGTACATACATGATTATCTTCGTCAACTGAAATCAAAACATGAGCTTGTGACAGTAGAGCAATCGTTGCAAATTCGACGATTATACAATGCACTATATAATATTTCGCAGGCAGTATCAAAATTTTATTCTCTGCCGATAATGCTGTCTTTTAAATACCTTCGGAGCTGTTATTTGTTCGGTCTATTACGTCACCAAACCAATCTCTTTAAGAAGAGCTGCTCTACCGACTCTATTATTTATAGATGGGTTATCTTATGGCATAGTTTACGGGTCATTGTTGATTGCGTTGACACAATGTGTTGCTATAATTACATCCGAGGTATGTATATACTTCCGAACATATTATTCAACAAATTTTTATTTCATGTTAGACTTATTGTGTAGTATTACAAATATTTTATTCTGTATTATTATATTCTGAAACAGAGTAGGATAGGAGACATTGTAAATCAATGTTCGATGAATTCTGAAAACCAGATAATCGTAGAGAAGGTAAAACAAATATTTCGAATGTATTGTTTTGATGATATTGTCGAATCAACAAATGCATGCATTTTGATTAAGTATCAGTTGAATCAATTTTCAAATTATTCGATGCATGCAAAAGTTGAATTCACAGTTTTCAAACTTTGTTCATTAGATCAATCTTTACTAATATCAGTACGTTTACCAATTTTATTTTAAAATTAATTTTATTATTTCAACTTCACCGTTTGATTTATTGAAGTAATTTTAGTAATTAGGTTTCAGGTACAACAATGACCTACAATATTAAGCAATAATTCTACAGCTTCAGCAGCCTGTTTGAATGTATTTTTTATCAAGCGATTCAGATAAATAATAGTGAATTTAGTAATTGCCATTTGTTTTAATGCTGCTGATAAAAAATCGAACACGTTTATGTCCATATAACACTTTCGAACGAAGAAACTTCATTATCTAATTGAAAGAACTTATTATCTTATGTATTCTCTATTTTCTTTCTCTCTTATCAGTTTAGATCCAGCAATATAATTTTTACTTAGAATAGGATTTCTCACATTAACGCGACGTACTACTACTATAACACCACTACTATATGTGTTATATATTGCACTTTATCTTTTAACGAGATCGACGTATTATTATGCTCTCTTCGTACATTCCTTACCTTATATTTATGGCTTCTAGCAAAAATACGCTTCCAGTCCGTATGTATCACTTGAATTATGTATGTGAATTGGTATATTTGAAAATGTTATCTCTTTACTATAAAGTATATTAAAAATTGGCAAGTGAACTTTTTTTGTCTTGTTTTTTTTATCGTACATACGTCATGACTACCTCATTCAAGTGATCGAGTGCAAGTGCGCTTGCCGGCATACTGAGGCGAGTAGTTGAAAACTGCAGAATTATACAGTTTTCCTCTAGAAGTTCTGGCCACCAAACGCGACCTTGGCCTTACCTTCTCTCTAACTTACTATCTTTTAGACTTTATCGTTTGCTACGACGTCACGAGGACATTACACCTTATAAACTTATTAATTGATTTATCCGGTTTCGGAAATTTTTCTCCGAAGAAATTTATTTTACGGAAAATTGTCCAAAATTATTGGATTAGTAGGATTTATTTATGTGCTCGATTAGAACTTGATTTCAACACCACAATGAATTCTACCATACGCTAATCAAGGGTAGAGTCGGATTTCTCTGTGAATTCGTCGGAACCTCTTTTGAAAAATAGACTAAATTTTATTTACGGAATGGAAAACAGGTTTCTTGCCAGTTATCAGTTTATAACGTGCATGAGAGACGACACAAGTTGAAAATAAAACTTTTACGGTATTTCTTTTCACTCTATGATCCCTTCTAACTCACTGCGCGCTACATTTCCATACTTTACAATGATTTTCATGTAGTTTTATTTCTGATAAAATTTCGTAACGGATTGGCCATCTTATAGTCTCTTTTGCAACCTATTACAAGTTCAAAAATGTTATGTTCAGTAAAAATTTTACTTTTTGTCGATTTCTTTATTTTTTCAGTCTTTGACTGATTAATACAAATCTGCGCAGTTTGTAAAACTTGTTTTGCCGACTCTGTATTGTATGCAAAAAAATTTTTAGTGAAAAAGCGCAAATCATAAAAATACAAATTTAAAGTTTACCAATGTGTAGTCGAATGTACAGTCGAATATGAGCTTACACAAGAAGAATTTCCTTTTGTATGTGGGAATTGTAAGATAACTTAAAAACTACAACTAAAAAAAATCAATAATAACAAACTTAGTAATTTATAACAAAAATTTAGTAATTCTAATACATTTACACTTTAATAAAAAACTGTTGAATGATCTTTCCTGCCCTTTATTTTTAGTTTCCGTTTGACAATTTTTTTGTTAGCTCATAAAACTCTTAATCTTTCGGTAATCTGTTGAAAATTTAAATAGTAGTAACGTAAGTACCGCTTTCGTACATCGTATAAGCTTTTGATCCAGACACAGTGGATAATTCAATTCAATTTTAAACTTCTTACTCGTATTGTATAACATAAAAATATAGTTATTAAAATAAAAAATATTAAGTATACAAGAAGAAAGGAAACGTCATATTTCCAATACAAAGTAACTGATAAAATTGATAAACATTGAGTCAAATCTGAATAATATATGATATATCATGTGAGCTTTGTAGGAAAAAGGCTGGTTATCAAAGGAAATAAGCTTAGAAACGAAGAGGCAAATTTTTTTTCGAAACAGCGCTTAAAATCGATGTTCGGGCAGAGAGAGCGAGAGAGAGAGCGAGAGAGAGAGAGAGAGAGAGAGAGAGAGAGAGAGAGAGAGAGAGGGAGAGCTCTTGGTCGACAATGCAGGTTGCGCAAAGGGTCGAGTTACCTGTACGGACTTATACGTACACACACAGCGCGTCGCTTGGCGCGCAAACTCACTCCGAGCCTGCATACCCCCATCGATACATGCACAGTCTCGCGAAAGGAAGACGGCGAGGGGAGGGAGCGCGCCGCCGCCGCCGCCGCCGCTGGCTCCTTCTCTCTCGCTTTCGCTCGTTGCTGCTGGCAGTGCGGCTTTAGGGGGCGGCGAGGGCGGCTGGCTTTCTCTCTCGTTTCGACGCGAGGAGAAAGAGCGAGGCTCGAGCACCCTTGGCGACAGCCGCCGCCGGCTCGCGCTTGCTGCAACTTGCGAACCTCCGCTCCCCGCTCGACACTGCAGTGCGCGCACCTACACCCGTGCGCCTTGCACGCGGACTTTCGACTCGCGGATTCGCCGAATGAGAACGGCTCGCGCGCCGAGCGAGTCCTCCCTCGAGCGAGCCAGGCAGAAGGAAAGGAGCGACATGAAGGCCTCCAGCAGCAGGTACGTGCCCCTCGACGTAGCTTCGACGCGCTTCCTCGCGAATCTATACGGCTCAGCTGCTCCTCTCTCTCTCTCTCTCTCGCTCGCTCGCTCTCTGGCTCCCTCTCCTTGCACTGTTGCCACGCGAATCGTGGTAGTAGTGGACGTAGTATTACCATGCGTATCCTGTACTCTTGCTCTTGCTAGCACGCCTCATCTCCTACGTGCCCTACATCCTTTTCCCATACCCGTGCACTTGATCTGTTAACGTGGCGTACGTGCTATTATACTCTCCTCGCGCATTCTTCGCCTTATATTTATGGCTTCTGGCGAAAATACGCTTCCAGTCCGTAAAGTGCGTTTATCGTTGGGGGAACAAGTTTTAAAAGGTCGAACTGCCGTGTTAGCGTGCAGAAGGACTGTAGTCATTCAAAAGCCGAGGTAGAACTGCGTAACGACTTTTGCCGAATTTTGTTTCACTTTTAGTGGCGTCGCAAGCACCGACAATCAGCTGTTTGTAAAGTCAAAAGAGTATTAATGATGTTGGAGCTAAAAAAGTGATGCTGTCAACTGTTTTGCGGGCGTTGTGCATCATTACTATCGCGTCATACTTGTTTCAATGCGATTGGGAGTGCGATGCTTTTTTAAGCGCAGTTGTCATTTTTTATCAATAATTTTCTAAGATATCTCACGCTCCAACACTTTATCCGCGTATTAACTATTGATCGATGGAGTAACAAAATACCAATTCCTTCTTTATCAAGTCATTTTCCTATGTATAAAAAAGCGATAGCCCATCGAGTCAAGTCAGTTTATACGTGATCTGAATGGCTGAACGGTAGTCACGCGGGTTACTATCCTGTGACAGCGTCTATGCGTATGTGCGCGTGTTGGGCATCTAATAATATTAGCATTAGTGCTAATAAATAACTCGAGTCGTTTTGCAGCCATTTATTGTCGAATAATTATTTACGAATTAATATCGACGAATCTCGAGCATTTCAAATCAGAATGATTTTATGCATGTAGTGTGTTTCAGAATTTTTAACTTACATTTCAACGATTTCGATTTGATTCAATCGTCAAGCTGCATATTAATCATATAAACAAAAAATGAGTGTGCAGAACGTACTTGACGAAACTAATGTAAAAAATGATCGATAATCCCTAGTTTCCAATTTCTGATTCATTAAGTAAGTTAAACCAACAGACCTCGCAAAGCAGCTACGAGGCTGATAAATTGGCAAGTAATTGAAATCTGTGCGTGTTTAATTAGCACTAAAAGAGCAAAAAAGTACATTAATGTCACAGGGTTTTGATAGATTAAACTGCACACGAGGGTAGATACTCGACAAACCATGTAATAGAAATTTGGTCAGACTAGGCAGTAAATGGCTAGCGATATTAATATACCACACCTAATGCGTATAACCACTGTTGATAGCCAATTACTGTCAACACTCAAGATAGCAGACTCCACGGCGTAAAATGTAATACGCGATGATCTTACGGACCAATACGTTATTTTGCGCGCAATTTTATGGGATCACGATAACACAATCTGAAAATGCGAAAATAAAAAAAACAGCTCCGCAGTACAGCAAATATATTCGTAAACAAAGAACAAACGCTTGTACTTTTAACGTTTTATATGAAAAATCATCGTTTTTGGAAACATCATCGATGACTGGATGAGCTTCTTTCGTGCACGCCTATTTTTTTTTCAGATATTTCAGTTTTGAAGTTTTGAAGAAGCAGCAAGATTCATTGCAACGAAGCGCAATATATATCTATACTATATATATCTATACTATTATTCGTTTTCATCAGTTACCTGACTCGTTTTACTGACTATAATTATTCAGATAAATTTTAATTTAAGAATAATTTTACGATTTATATTTTCAAATTGGGATTGATAAAAAAACTTGAAATAGAAAAGAAAGTATTAATACCGTTATTGCAGAATATTTGTTTTGTAATAATGAAGCTATAGCTTCTCGATGTATCTTTTCCATTGAAAAAAATCTGAATCAACAGGGATTTTGTTGAACGTTATTATTTTTATCTTGAGAAAACAAACATTGCCTCAATTAACGGTCAGTTTCCATTATCCACCAAAAACTGCACATTATTAAAACTCAACACGTAGATCGTTAGTAACCGGTTAATTACATATGTAATCAAACTCTTCTCCCTGTGATTGTTCTAACCGAATATGCTGAGTATGTGGAATATCAACTTAGCCAACAGTAGGTCCCCATTATTTACAAAAACATAATTCACGTAATATATAGCGTTGAGCTATGAAGGGCAAGTGAAATATGTCGTAAATTAAGACATTCGCAATAGAAAAATTAAATAATGCAATTTCAAAAAGCAAATCAATCTATCAGACGTCAAGTGCAGAATTACAGAATAAATTGTTCAGTTATAAAATTGTTCCGTGAATAATTTAATTTACCTTCAATATAGTACTCATTCCGAGTAAATAATGCGATAATGAAACAATTTGCGAAATTGCCCTTACTCGCTCCGTTAATTTACAATTACTACTTTTACGTCCTTCATTGCGTGAAAAAATATTCTGTCCGCGTATAACCTGCGTTAATTAGTGAGCACCGACAGAGAGAGGCATTTTAATATGCTACGCTTGCAGATGCATCAATATTATTACGCCCGCGTAGGAACGCATGACAATATTTCCACAACGCTACATCTTTGATTTCAATTATCCGGGATGTTGTGCGCAGGCATGACCGTTTTACGGAAATGTTGGCTTATTATTGAACTTGGGACAAAATCGATTGTAAACATTATTTCGTCCTGTTTGCTACGTGTCCTTCTCGTAAAAAAAAAACTGCGAGTCCAATCAACCGCCGACGTTATAAAAGTAACGAATTTCGACGCTCTTTTTCAATTTTATCGAGTTTCAATATCCCTATAGTGATTATTGAAGTTTAACGTGTTCCAAATTGCAAACGTCCAGTTGCAAACGTCTTAATTGTATTTGTGTGTTTTTACGTGCGAACGTTCTGTTCGTTTTTGCGGTGAGGAAATCGATGGGCAGATGACGGCCGAGTATACGTTGCGGTTTTTATACGTGCTTTATTTAAGCTTAGCGCGCTATCTCGCGTTACGGAGCCTCGAGCAGACATTGAAATTTACGAGGGTACTATGAGTAAAGCTGAAATAGCTGTGTCAATTTAACGCAATTCTCTCGCGTATTTATTAATTTTTTTTGTATGGGGGGAGGGGATTTTGCGGCTAACGCTCGTCTGTCGTGTAATCGAATGAACTTTTTATTCGTATGGAAAAAATACGGAACCGCAATTTCGCTCCCGCTGATGTATTCCATATTCATCGAGTACACGAAATGCCTCGAAATGCCTGTTTGCCGTGTCGTCAAGATACAGTATATGCTTATCAATATTTTTACGTTGAATTAAAATACAAAACTAATGGTTGCCTTACATGCGCGTGAACTTTCTTTCCAGTTCACAAGATCTTTCTAAAAATAGGCGCAATTTTTATTTTACGATTTTGCAATATTACCATAATCGTGAATAATATATGAAATATTCATGATATATCAAGGCAAAAATGATTGAATTTGAATTGACTGCGAGATTGAAATTGCATATTACTTCATCAAAGCTGAATTTAAAAGTTGCAATCTAATTTTGAATTCAATCCCCTTCCGCAGTAAAGAGGGCCAACAACACGAGTAAATTAGCGAGATACAGGAGTAGAAATTTCTCGACGAAGAATGATGCAGTAAGGGTACCGGATCATTTGCATACTCGGAAGATAAAAAATACGGTGGCTCATGGGCAAAAATTGGTTAATTTCCGATCGACCCGAACGAATCTTCCGATCGCGCCACTCGACATAACGACTCCAATTATGTGCAGCGACGTTCTTTCGCTCTCGACTCTCGACCTCGTGGCCCAGCACGCCGAGCGATAAAAAATTGTCTGGGCAAATAAATTGTTATCGATGCATTCGAGAGAAAGAGAGAGAGAGAGAGAGAGAGAGAATCGAAAGCAAGTCCAGTTATTCTGATTGTTGTTATTTATTTCTGACGTGTACGTGCCATCGTCGTTGCGTTATTGATTCTCATTGCTTTTTGCATAAGTAAATGAGGAGTGTGTTGTCGACATTTTGATTGTATTATCTTAAATTCGCTGAATTCGATACGTCAGACTAATCGCCTCGCGATGCCCCTTTCGCCGCGTTATCTTCCGATACTCTTCGTCGACGCACGTGGTTTCGGCGAGTCGGGACGGCGTTCGTTTCGTCGCAGAAAAAAAGAAGATCGATCGTTGAAACCGAGAAAAAAAATGCCCGGAGGAATGAACTTTTCCAAGTAAATAGCGGTGCCAAGTCGCTCAATATGCAAAGTAAGTTGACGCGAGGAAAAGTGAGCGAGCGCAACGAGCGGCGCGGCTCGCGCGCCAATAAAACAAGCGTGATCCGATAATCCACGGAGCTCGGCCAGATGAAAAGGCCCTAGAAAGTTCAGGTGTCTTTGTCAGTTGCGGCGCGCGTGCGCACACGTGGATGAGAAAAAAAAAAGCAAAGAAGGGAGCCCTTAAGGGCGCTGCGCTTAATAGACGCGCACAAACACCAATTTCACTGGCACGTGAAGTAGCGACCGATCGATAATTGGCCCGCCGATGCTGTGCACGTACTCGTACCTCTTTTTTGCTCTCGGCCGGAAGGGAATATTAATGCCGCGATCGACGAGTATTATGAGTGAGCCCTGCTCTGTTTTGATGAATTACTAACGAAAGTGAAAGCGACATCTGCAAACACGTCTGTTCGAGTATTATGAGCCCGAAGCTCTTCTCTATAGGCACTTTCGCTCATGGTAGCGAACGACAATAACTTTGGACATTTGTTTACGATGAGAAAACATGACGTACGAATTTCGAGCTCGAGTACTTGACTCTTCTAATGAGTGCAAGCTTATAGTGTTATTTTAATCGGGAAATACGTAGGTCAATGTACGTAATGGCTTTTGCGCTTAATGAAACGAAACCTAGGGCGTGATCAGTCATGCTTTATCTAGCCTTTTCAAGCTCGTTCACACATGTTCCTAGCTGTTTTGACTCATTATGTCAAGTATGCATTATGGTGATTTCTATAAACAATACATCAGTTCCATGATCTTGAACATTAGCAAAGTTTGCAGGACCTGTTTTTTTCTGCTTATTTGCTTTATGAACTAGATTATTTCTAGTTGTTCTTCGGTGATTTTTTTCTTCTAGCAATTTTAATATGAGACTTCACGTAAAAATAATAGTACCATCGCGTTCTACACCAAAAATAAGTAAAAAATACAAGTTTTGAAAATATTGTTGGATTACCTTGTGATTTGAAAGAAATTAATGTCTAGGATGTTAGCAGTTTAAATAAACCAACGTAGAATATTATTTTTCTTCTTGAATGTATTAAGAATACCAAAAATTATTTCCAAAAAAGTGATATTACATTTTATATGATAGTACTGTTGGATTTCTCGTCGGATGGACGTTAAAAACACCGAAGAAAGAAAAAAATCCACTGGAAAAATTAGCTCTTTGTTTAGCGTTTTTAAATTACACTTGATAATAAATTTAACGGCACTGTCGTATTCTACATAAAAAAGTATAATATCATATTTTTAAAAATAATTATTGACATGCCACAGTGTACTTAACCAATAAAATACACAGTAATATTTTCAAGGCTTGCTATACATATTTTCTCTGTGCTTGTTCACATAAAATGAGATGATTTTTGAAAGAACCTATATTATAACTTAGAAACGAAAAATCATTAAAGACCAATAAATTGCCAATTGCCCTAATACTTGCAAGCATTTCCCGTCACTATATATATATATATATATATAGCTAAATTAAGAAAAGAAAATATTCATAAGCTTTAGCAAATAAATATTCCATTGTGGTCCTCAGGAATGTGTAGTTTTATGGAAATCGTATTATATGCACTCCTCGTGCATTTGGCTTCTTAATCCGGAAAATTACGCCGCACGAAACCTCGTTATCGTAATTTGCGAGGTTTCACAGGGTGTCTTTATCACTGTAATTAACGTCTTGCCCCTCGAAATTTGTAACACGAGATAAGAAGTCTCTTGCCAGTCGTACATAAAGGGAAACTGTATTTATAAGTTGCAGTGATGCTTTACTATTCAAACTAATTTAATCTATGGTTTGCCTGATCAAAAGTAATTTTACCTAGCCGTTCCTTGCGTTTTGCAGCTCTAATGGCATTGAAATGAAACATTCGCCCCTGTCAACACTGATACGCGTAATTTGATACTTTTCAGCTAATTATAAAGTTGAGTTTTGTCGCTGAACAATGAATTTTCAAGTTGACTTTGTTGCAACGTTGCATTATTCTGAATCGCAAAAGCTGCATTGTAGTTTTAGTTTTAGCAAGGGTAAAAATATCCTTTTGTAATACGATAAAATTTGCAAGAAAAACTAGTTTAACTTGTAAAACCGTCGTTTAACAAGGCTGTCATCGAAAGAGTACGCGTATTTGCCCGAAAATCGACGGCTTGGCAAACGAGAAAACTGAATAGACCATCGACTAACCACACTTCGCGCGCAGATTGCAAATTGCAGTTGCAAGCGCGGTTCAAATTGGATTTCGAGCGTTACGCAATGTCGGTGGAAACGAGTGTGGGTCCAACAAAATTTATCTTCTCTTGAGTATCGTTGTCGCACCTCCGAGACGCTAAACAGCGAGGTGTCGCGCTTGGAAAAGCACGCGGACGAAAATCTAACGAGTGCAGACTGAGCCGTGGATTATATTGCGACAGTGAAGAGAGCGCGTGTCCGCGCGCGAGTCAGAACAATGTCAGTACGCACGAGGAGAGCCAGCTATAACAGGATGAAAGTATCGAGTGCAGTGGGCGTGCCAATGGGATTAAGCGCCGTTCGGCCCGGTAAATAACGATGCTACGCCGAGATAAAAGCCCCGCCGACCAGCAATTCCGTACTGAGCTTTTCTCGCTAAACGCCCGCACCGTCGAAACATTCTCTCCGCAAATGACTCGCGAACGAGCGGTGCGCCAAACAACGGCTACCTCAATGAAATATTATGCTCGCCAATCCCCCGTAGGTGAAGATCTAATTGGGCGCGCTTCAGTAAATCCAAGAGTACATGGTACATCTAAAGTTTAATTGATAGACCGATCAAGTAGTAAGTGTGTGCAAGTGCTATAGCGAGAAACGCAAACCGAATATGCACACCGTCGGTTTATAAATGACAAAGCGAGAGAGAGAGAGAAAGAGAAAGAGAGAGAGGCGATCTGAATTATCAATGTTATATACAGAGACGAACGGACTCGACTATATGTATATACAACTCTGTCGAGAGACTGACTTGGCGGAAATTTGAATAATTGTGTCTAACCGGTATCGATATCTCTCTCCTTCTCTATCGCTGCAACGGCTGTGCCTCGGCGCACGCGGACTTGTGCTACTGACGAACTAACTTCAAAGAATTTCTCTGAGCACGAGGCTGCCAATTCCCCAAACTCGCTACGCTATATACGTAGCTCTTGCTGCTCTCTGTGGCCTGAATTCCTGATGATTTCAGGATCGCTTTTAAGCTCTCTGATCAACGACTTTTTCACTTTTATAATTGCAAATTTTATATATCTGCCACGCTCACGCTCTACAAGATTATGAAAATGATGATCGATGGAAATGAGTTATTTGAAAATGCCTTGATTTCTTTGAAAATTTGACTTTCAAAACAATTGTGCGCATTCGTTATCGATTCGATATTTAAATAAACGGCAAGTACTGAATCCGCATTGGTTTCGCTTAACTCCAATGGCAAATTATCCGAAATTATTGCATGTTTTCGCTTCAACGATCAATTGATATGATCGGCCCAGTAAAACTGTATGTTTCCGCGGAAGGAAATGATTATAGCTTTTTTTTCTCGTATATGTTACTTCGTGCTTCTCGTTTTCGTTTTATATTGGCTCGAATTTCTGCTCGTAACAAGACTTTCAATAAACTCTTGATTACTTTATCTCAGATGGCTGAGGCGTCGACGTTGGCCGGCGGATATTTAATCCCCGCTAACGTCAGCCTCTGATTGTGGCTACTACCTACAATGCAAAGCTATTTTTATCCGATTATAACTGACAGCTGTTTGAAGTTTACTTTGAATTTTAATTTAATTACAAACAATTGTTTAAGTAAATGTAGTTACTTCCTTTCCATGACGTGTTGAAAAATAATTTAAGCAACCGCGTCTATTGTATTTTATTCAGTCACTACCAAATTATCTGTTCCTCAATATTCTGTAACAATCTTTTATTGCTAAATTAAAACAAATTTTTTTACATCTAAAAATTCAATTTTTATAACAGTATGACGCATAACTACATATTTCAAATAAAATTTTATTTGTTGGAAGATGTAATTTTAACGTAAGCAAAAGAAATGAGTCGATTAATAAGAACTACAATTCGGAAGTTCACGAATATAGCGATTAAAATCTTACATCATAATTATTGAGCTTGTCGAGTTTCTGGTGAAACATGTAAGATTCGTAAATCAGTTACGATCTATACTTATTTGCATTTCCAGCAGAAATGGATCTTTATTTTGAATTAAAAGTTCACTATTTCGTTGATGAACAAACTGAAATAATATGTTTAAAAGGGTCACCCACGTATACATTGATCGAATAGACGTTTTTCTCAATAATATATGGGTCGATGTAAACTTACTTTTGTTGATTTAATTGAACGGCAAGTACTTAATAAAAGAAAATATTTATTGAAGAGTAGTTTTGACGAAACGTATTCAATCAACACGAAATACCTATTTATATACAGATTGTTTATCAAGCCTGTACTGTCGAAACAATGATAATTTATAATTGTCCAAATGTTTTCAGTGTGGAACGCCCGGAAGCGCTGGAAAGGGGCCGTAACTTTCGCCTGCTCGCCGCTGACGAATTGCCTCAAATCCTGGACTTCCTCGCCACTTACCTGCCCGAGTCTCTCAAAGTAAGTGTATCCTCTTGCGAAAATTCTTTCCTCGCTTTAGCACTTTGCCGGAGCACAGTTGAGCTCCATTAGCTACATAACACAAGGAGCCAGCTATCATTTATTAGCGCGATTGCTTTCTGTAAACCTTGCACTTTACTTGATTAACTGGTCTCTACTCTCTCTTTGTATTTTGATTTAGGCCTTTGATGCCGTAACTTTTAATGCATTACTTATTCGAACAACTGGAGCTCTCAGCCGCTTACTGTGCAGCCAAAAAAACTTTGAAAGCGTTCTGTCTAAATCCGATCGATTGGAAGCACCCGCGCATCAACTCTTATCGAGCAATTAGTTCCGATCAATATTGCACCAAGTTTTCCCGTCCTCTGCATAATTAAGGCGCTCACTTTGGAAATCAATAAATCGTAATAGGTCGATGCACGTGACAACGCGACACGATGCCGCGCTCGTTAGCTTGCTTAGTTTATTCACAGGTTTGCCTCGCTCTTGAACAACTTTCGCGTACGAAACCTGAAACTAGGCCAAATGACTAAATTTAATTTGAATATCACGTCGAAAAATCATGTAGATCGAGACTGCGAGTTGACCTGCCGAGCTCGGCTTTTATTGTGTTCTATGTCTGACTGATCTCTGGAATTACTACTTTTTCCGCCGCACTTTAGCGATAACACTTTCTTCGCTTGAGAACAATTTAAGTTTACGTTAATGCAACAGTACATGTACGTTTATTTGAATATCTCGTTAAATTCATTCACCTACAAAATATCGCTTGATGAATTTCATTCTTAAATTAAAAAAAAAAAACGTAGCGTTCAATCGTGTACGAGACACGAGGAATATGCATATACCATGAGACTAGTTTGTGAGTAAAGCGTGGGCGACGCACTTGTAAATATCGAAAAGACCAATTTCGCAAAACAATCGTATTTTCTCGAACTAACAAGAAATAAATAGTACCAAGAGTTTATTGCTTGCTTCGCTTTCAATTTAATTTCGGACGTGGCAATTAGTCAGTTCGAGCAAACTTTCATAATCATGTAGATGTGAAAAAGCGATATTTAGCGCAAGAACAAACGAACTCGTACTCAATTTAAGCGATTCGGCGTGGACGCTGAAAAGCTAATTAAGTCGTTACCATTCAAGTTGAACTTTACTGCACGCGTTAAAATGCCTCCCACGTTTTAACGTGATTACATCGCACTCGATAGTATGAGCGCAGCTACGAAGAGAGTAAATTTAAAAAATATAATTATAATTGAAATGATGATTATTAACAACTGCAATTTATCGTGACAATTGATCGATGAATCATAGCAACAGAAATACGAACGTTCTAAGTTAGCGATAAACGTCGTATGCTATAGTTAAATCATCAAATCGCAACATTGCAATGAACATTAAATATGCGCTGATTAAAATTTCCGAGCAAAATAGTTAGTTACTTACCTTGGCCGGGATAAGTGCAAACATCTCCTGGTCGTGTTCGGCTTTTCGTGCAGATAATACTGAATGAGTAATGAGGTCGCTTACGACGAAACTACACTCAGATTTTACAGTTAGCATTTGCCCCACGTGACTCGTATCGTAGCAAGACTGGTAGGCTGAAAAACGACGGAGGAGCGCGGATTAGTCATTCTCCGAGGCTGTAATGAACTCGACACTGCTCGGGAGCATCCTGGGCTGTAATAGCCGAGAAACGAGCCGAGGCGCTCCTCCCGCGTAAAAGACCCCATTACAGATCGAACGTCCTCTGCACTAGCACGAAAAACATATGCTCGTTAAATGGCCGTATACAGTGTCGTTTAGTTTTTCATAAGAACGCCCACGACAAAAGAATCTTCCATTTTCACGCATTGCCTATACTCGCCTTGTATATAAGACAAGACGCTGACAAATTATATCTGAAAAACCCAGATGATCAATCGATTTGAAACTTCGCACAGGTACGTATTTATTCATGAACTTGAAGTCCTGGAAGTTTCAGATAAATGACGTGGGACTTTATTTATGATGAAACCGCTTCAATGTGACAACTTTGAAAAAACCGAAAATACATGGGCAACGAAACGTTCAGAATACGCTCGCGTTTCGTCGACACCGAGTTTCTCGCTAATAATTGACTTTTATTTTTTGTTCTGCAGTACTACGAAATTAAAGGTCTGCCACGAAATTCGGCCGGAAGAAAAACTCCTTTTGACTGTCATGCATATTGCATCTCTTGATCGATTGTTGGAAACGTGCCGAGCTTAATAAAATGGAAATGGTTGCGTTCGACCGCGTGCTGCTATAGGACTTTGCGTCGAGTCAAGATTTGAAAGTTCAAGGTCGAATCTTTTTCCTTTCTTTGCATTTTTCTAATTGCGTCGACTCGCTTGCGCGACTAATTGAAATGTTTTTCCCTTGCACGCTCGCGAGCGACGAGGCAGTTTTCATCAGCCAGCAATGCGAAAGGAACGCGCTTAGGAATTTTATTGATCAAATCTCTATACGCCCTTCGTCTATGGTATACGCGCTATTGAAAAGATTTCAATGGTTTATTGAAATTTGAAAAGTTACGCGCTTCGAACGAAGATTAAATTATCCGCGTCGCGTAAATAATTTACTTCGACATAACCATGAAAAAGTTGTTTTGACGCATCGTATAAGACATTTTGCATTATTATGAAATTTTTCCATTACTATTCTAATTGTAAACAGTTATGAATCCATACAGTATGCTCTTCTCACGGCCGTTCTCGTGAAAATTTTCTGAAACATAAATGCAGTATTGTTATTACGGAGGTATACTTAAAATACTTTTTTCCCGCGTGTTCCAATTTAACAGAAAAAGTTACAGAGATGCGTTCAAATAAATATAAGAGTGCAGATATGGATAGCAATCAAGACAAAATTGATTTGCTGCGCGCGTGCACTCGAAAAATCTTGCTGGCAATCCTGAAAAATTGACGTTTCGGAAAAAAAGTAAAGATTCGCGAGCTCTTGTCAAATTATATCGTCGATACTCGGTCGCGAAGTGTTTACGCGCGAAAAACTGCATGAAAAGGCTGCATCGTCGACGCAACGCGCTAAATGCTCAATTTCGCCGGGTACAGAGACGACACGTACAACGCGTGGCGACGAAGGACCCGCAGCTGTGAATCGAGCAAAAAAAAAATACACAACGAAACGTAGAAAAGAAGAAGGAAAAAAAAAGCATTACGGATTTTTGCGAGTGAGAGCGAGAATCGCGCGCGATCTTGAACCGGCGCGCCGTGGGCTCGCAGGGTCAAGGTCACTGACGTAAGTGTGTGCGTGCGGCCCACGCTTTTCTCGCGCATAATGTCCCACGTTAACCAACGTGAAAATATCACATGACTGTACATGTCTCGCAGCTTGCGCGCTCATCGCGATTCAACTGACTGGCGTAACGCTGAATTTCGCAGCGGATTGATCGACGGCGCGCCGCGAAAACCATTGCTACCTTTTCCTTTTCCGGATCCTTCGACGTTGCGCGCCATTTGCTTCACTAAAACTCTCCCTTTTCTTTTTTTATTATTCAACTTGCGCGCGGGAAATTGTTCTTTCTTATACGACGCCGCGTTAAAATTCTTTTTACCGATAGTTCACACGATATAATTTACAGTTGATTTGGCGCACAAATACATAGCGTAGAATGCGAGTTCGCTGAAAAATTGATAAATCAGATGGCAGGGGCGAAAATTGACAGCCGTAACTGCTCTTTAGAGGTCAATTAGACAAATGAAGATCAAATGTTTCTTCTGAAAGGAGTGAAATTGCCGCAATAGAACGAAAAAAAAAAACGATTGCGTCTACACAGTCGTTTCGCATAAATGCACAAAAGACAGAGACGTTGCACACGGAAACTATTATAGTATATCGATCATCTCGGCAATTGGCTGCAAGTAGAAAGCAAATCGTCGAGGCAAAAAACGAGGCTAAATACGGCTATGAATCCGGCGATTCATTCTGCGCCCCCCGAACTACATTGGCGCGTTGAAAAAACGAAACAACGACAGCAGCTGGTGCGCTCGAGCGGACAAAATGAAAAGGCATTTAACGCCACCGCTGGCTGCGCGCGCGACAACTTTCGCTCGGCGTCGAAAGTCGAACGCGTCGATCGTGCAAAGGGCGAGAGAGAGAGAGAGAGAGAGAGAGGCTACAGCATACAAAGTCCAACGACATTTAAGCTTACGATTTAACCTTCGCGCTGACCTTGACCGCTGCCACGTCTTTGTTACTTGCACGTTGGCGAATTTATTTTCATTCGGCGCAACCACGACGAAAATCCTCACTGCGACGGCGGCGCCTGGGCTATTAATCCCACCTCGACTCTGCACGCCATTCCATCGATTCCACTCCAACAGGCCAAATTACACCTGATCCAAGCCCTCTACTTATCATTTATCTTTACTTTTTTACTTTTCATCGCGCGGACCTGCGATCGCGTGACTGTTGCGCCATTTTTATCGAGCGTTACGCGCGATTTCGACGTATTCGGCAGGTCGGAGCTTTTACTTTCAGTATACACAATGGCGATCGATGGGCCGACCTTTTATGCATCTGTCGTTCAAACGGCTCGTTCGCGCGCGAGAGAGACATTACGCCGCCTCTACATACGAGCCGGACAATTTTTACATTCATAAGATGCGTTTTTCTAGATCGAACGGCGCGGCATTAATAAAGCGATGCGCGCGACTCCGCGTATATCCCCGCGCTTTGGGGATTTTTACGAAACTTGCATCTCTCACTCTCGTAAACTTGACACTGGCAAGTTTAACTTGCCGAGCAACCGTTGGCCGATTTTCTTGCCTCCTTCTAATCCCCGCCTAAATTGCTCGTCTCTAGTTCAGCTCGGCGATAAAGGACTCGGTTAGAAAATTACACGGACGGAAAGAGCGCGAAAGCGCTGATTAACGCAATTACCGAGTCAGGTTCTCTCGCTGGTTTTCGAGCGTTATCTCGCTCGCTGGCGAAGAAGAAGAAACGGCAGGCGAGCAAAGCTCGCTCCGGCTGCTACTCAATCCCCAACGCATCGGGCCGGCAAGCGACTAGTTCCGAAAAAAAGAGAGAGCTTGGCGATTCAAGATGTCGACATCGTAGAGTTTTTGGTCTCTCGGCTGTGCATTCGCAGCGGAAATAAGCAATCGCGGGCGGCGCGGTTCTTTTAGTCGCGCGGCTGAGAGGGGGGAGGGGCCAGCGCCTGAAAAGGGGAGGAAGGCTTATTTCATCGTCGCACGCGTGAAAATAAAAATAAAGGAATATAGGTCGTTTAAGCGCCACCCGCATAATCTCAATTCGTATTTGTCTTCTTTTCTTTGCAGTTTCACCAGACCCTCCTGACCTACATCCGCAACAAGGTGTGGGAGTTCCACTTCTACGTAGCCAATGACTGGCCAGATGTTCCTGTGTGCCTCCATTTTCCCGGGATGACGCTCTCGGTGAGTTTTACCTGTCTCTCGCTCTGCGAAATACCAGGTAGATAATCACTCGACCGCCGGCCACTTCAATCTCGAGATCGCGACCGTGCGCCGCATTTTTTCTCTTTTTTACAGCGAGCAAACGCTACACTCGTTTCTACGGATCAATGGCGATTGTTATTGCACTCGTTCGACCAGACACTTTGATTTGTGATGCTAATTTGGGCGTCATATATCAACGTAAGACGGCTTTATTAGGCGACGGTCATGCGTCAGCAAAAGATTTATCGCATTTGTTTATTTTAATTTTCAACTGCAAATTTTCACAATTCTCGGCGAAAATGTCAGTACTTTTGCAAGGGTCAAGGCGTTGCTGTTTTTTAATTTACTGTGTATCAACTGATGTTTGTAATTGGGAGTAGACATGCTATTTTCAAAAAGTAGCCGAAATGAAATGGAAACTAAAGGACACGCGAAATGTTCTCATAAATGTGTTGTGAAATTGCTAGAGGGAGAACTGCAAGTAAATATGCCGACACAGTAAATGAGCTTTTTGATAAGCATCCGAAAAATAAAAAATGTTTAGCTCTTTTTCTCTTTGATTTCTTTCTTATGAATCAAACTGAGAGGAAAAATGAAAAAGAAGAAAGATTGCACGAAGAACAAGAAACTCAACTTTCTAGAAGCAAATGGCGAATTCTCGGGACTGTGGCTTATCATTCGCTCCATTGTTCTTCGTCAAACTGTTCTTTTTCTATCTCTGTGTACCTACTATTCTAATGGTTCCGAGATTATTCGAGTAAGACTAATTATTCCATTCAACGATTCATTCGTATAAAAAGACAGATTTTCCCGTGTTGGAGAGGTAATGTTGAATTGATTTTCGATCAGTTCTTCATCTGCGCATAGTTTACGGAAGCTACGAAAACTTTTGGAAATTCAGCCCTCCAAGGGGGACGCAACGTCAAATAAATAACTTTACATACATCAGAGACGTGGGCTTGCAATTTTCATTAGAAATCCAATTTCATACGATTCCAAAACATTAAATGCTATTGGAAATTGAAAACATGAAAATTAGAGAAAAATCTTAGGTGTCTGAACTAGCAACAAGCGCTAATTGTACAGTAGCGAGGTACCGTAATGTCATTTAACAATCTTGTTTAAGCTCCAGTTTAATGATGCAATTCACCGAGCGTTTCATCAGACAGATATTTCGGTCGCTCCATTACACATTTTATGAAGATGCTATACTATACCATACTTACTTCGAAATAAAGATACGACAGTTTGGCACACTTAGACTCAACCAGATCGTTGTATATTTTTTGTTATAATATGAAACAAAAACTTGCAGAGCTTTTAATACATCGGCTCAAAGTTAGTAAGAAAGAACAATAGAAGAATCTACACCAGTTGTAAAAAAATCCTAAACCAACTTTTCTCATAAAACGATAAAAGTTCTTTGTTCTTTAATAAGCTTTTCAGTAGAATTTATGGTGCGTACTTATTGATTTCGAAAGCTGCTTTTACTTCACTTTCACAATTTGTTATCGCGACGTCTTTGTCGCCGAGAATTCCACTATTTTGACGAAAGAAGTGCGTTTTATAAAGAGTTTCAGTGCGTACCAATTGCATATGAAAAAATGTCGAGCTCGTGGTCACGAATTTGCGAACGACGACAAAAGAAGGTCAAATCAGTGTGAGGAGAGAGGCTACAGCGGTAATAATGGCGAATTGAATAACCGGCGATGGTGAAAAAACGTGATTCGCAGTAGTTCACAAGTTGCGCGCCACGACAAAAGCTCGCTTGGGTACTACGTGTCCCTTGTGAGCGTATACTTATCCGAGATTCACTGCCAGCTCAGCCGCAAATGCGGATTAGAGACAGAACGTGAGTTGGTGTATTCTAACGACAGCAAAATCCTTTTCGGGAGCCATAGAAATGCGAGCGGTGGAATAAAAAGATCCTACTCCAATATCCGTCTCTTGTTCAATAATAAATAAATAAATAAATAAATAAATAAATAAATAAATAAATAAAAGATGCGGAAGCGCCCTCAAAAGAATAACACGCAACTCTGACATTTGAAATCGATTTTAGTATCGGACGCTCAGCTTATCGTCGTGCTGCTAGGACGAGTATAATTTCTATTCCGAGCGAGTTACTTCACGAAAACAGGCTGTCAAAACTAGGGATCGTTCGGTCGAGCGAGCACGTATGTACGTAAATTCGCGGTATCGCGAAGCACACAATGCATCCGGCGGCACCCCTTCACCAGGCAGCGGTAAGTGGAGGGAAAGAGAAGCCCCCCCCCCTGTGCCCCTCAACTATACGTATCTATATATCCCTGAGCTTTTTGGCAATGAGCCAAGGCTCCGCATGCGCGCCCTCGAACGCACTCTCGATTTCTTCCTCCCTCGGACAATTCAGCTTCTCGCTCTCTCCGCCTTTTTTCTTTACTTACAAACACTCTTTCCTCTATTTTTAATCATCCGTTTTTCTTATTGTTATTATTTTGGAGCTTGTCCTTTCTCGTCCCGAAGGAGCCTAGATTTGCTTTCGAGGCTTTTTATTTGTCCTTGGACCTTTACAGATGTTGGACTTAGCGCACACCCTTGCAAATCTTCGGGATTTCCGGCTTGTACCTTTTGCGTTTTTATTGTACGCGTTTTGCCGAAATCTGCGACGCGAATCGACCAAGCTGTCTTTCAATTAACGATCGTGTTTTTCTATCCGGAGCTTATCTTTGAAAGAAAGTGCCGTCATTTTTCCTCCGCCATACCAAATTACAATACAGCGTTATGCCGAATTTCGTCTTCGACGATGATACGCGGTTTGGAAAGGAACTTGTACGCATTTTCTTTAGGCAGTGCCACAACTTGCAATGAAGTTTTTGCTTGGATCGTAAAATTCGGTCAAATACCTTTATGACGTTTCAAACAACGGTACACTTTTTGAATGGCTGCCAATAACTCAAATTTTATCTTGTTCGAATTCATTTATCGACATTTTTGAAACTTACATATTTTACATTTAGTTTCAATGTCATTTCCATTCTTTTAGAAAGTTAATTATTAATAGTATTAAGTTAAAAATTTCACAAGTTTCTATTAAATTACAAAGCTAACGGTATTGAAAAATGGCATTGAGTTATATCACAGCGATTAGAAAAAGAAGGAAGAATAATTGTTTGACGAGGTGTCAGAAAAAATAAAGCATAAAGTACTTTTTTCCTCTTTACTGAACATTCGTTTAAGCTGTCGTTATAGAACAATTGAAAATACCTTTTAGACCGTATCTTTATAGAATTCGCTCATTAGTTTCGTTAATTAACTTAACTATGATAATACCTGCAAAGGCTGAGGGTACTTTCACTGGGGGGAAATCAGCTTTCTCAAATTAATAATTTAATCAAGCATCTTTAAAACTGTACTAGTAGAGCGACTTAGAACGTTCTATTATATTTTTTCTGATTATTTTAATAGTAGAGATGCGAAGATGAGCAATGGTCTTCAAAATAATAACGTCTATCTGGAATAAAAAATACATGTGTCGATGAAAAAAGCAAGCATTGGGACGCAACAGCCCCCTTTAAAAAAATCGATGCAGAACTCAGGCGGACTTTCCGTTGCGCAGTTTTCGACTTGCTCAGCTGCATTCTTACGACGCTCCTCGCTGATGTAGCTCCGGTACTTAAAACTTCGGAACTTTATTAGTAGAAAACTCGGCAACGCAGTCGGTGCTGTCGCTCTAGCACGAGAGCTTGTCACTTGCACGTATACTGTTAAATTCATTCCGGCCAATTCGAGCAGCAACCTTGTCGGCGTTGTTTAACTTGCAAGCAAGGATACGACTGCGCGTTAGAGGATAGACTACGGCGTGCGCTTTTAAATGCTTCAAACACTTTGGCATTGTTTTCGAGCTTTGTCGACAATCCAGCTTTCAACGCGACAACTCGGAGCTTTCATTTTTTTCTTTTTCGAGCGACCTCGACTCGTCTGGCAAAGTGGCGTGCGTTCGCGGTGAAAGATCGTTTCAATAAAAGTCAGCTGTTCAAATGATTGAACGGAATTCCGGCGCCTAAGTGGATATTATGGCAGACGCCAGTGAGGCGCTAATGCCGCAAAACTTATGACTCGTTTCTGGTCTTTCTAATGAAATTTTTCGAGGATTAAATCGGATTTGACGTAATCTGTCGAGCTCCCGGGACAAAAGTAAGCTGTAATCGTGTCGGATGCCGAAGAATGTAAGCGTCCAGGGTCGCGGAATGACGAGAGCACGCGGGAACAATAGCAACGAAGTAAGGAGACAAATGCGCATTGGCGTTCGCGGGCAAAAGGCAAAAGAAGGAGGAGCGCTCGGTGTGCGCGCGCGACCCCCTCCTCCCTGCCCCTGGGGATACGCAAAGCGAGCGAGCGCGTCGGAAGGTCGTCGCGTTCCACCGAGAGACAACATCCGAGGGAGGATATTGCTATTGACTTTCCCGTCTACCGTTATCATAGCACCTACTCGCGTACCAACATATCGACTCGCATTCTCGGTCTTCCGTACGTCTCTGACTCTTTTTGTCCCGCACTGCTGTTAATCTTTGAAACGGATTAGCTTTTTGTCAAGCCCTCACCGTCGCTGTATTTACCGACTCTCCCTTTTGAACTTTGCAGTGTGCAAATCTCTCTCGCTCTCTGTTGACTAGGATTGACCTTCGCGTCAAGTGCAAGTCCGCAAGTCCAATGTTTTCGGTGGTGCCCGAAGTAAACTACTAGCGGCATTGATCAATTTAGCATCTAATGAAATGATGGACCACTACATTTCTAAGTAACGCTCTAATGTATGTTATTGCGAGTTTACAGCTGAACAGCACCGCTAAGACTCCGTCGATCATTCAGAGAATCGATTTACCCGCGGGTACATTTTCATTAGGCAAAATCTCTCTGGCAAAATCTCAATAATGCCTGTGAAAGGGGAAGTTATACGTGAAATTTCCCATTGTATGAATCATGGCAAATATAACCATATGAAGACACATGAAATGTGATTTCGGGTCGAATCTACTGATTTTCAGATGAAACACGAAGATTTTTATGGGCTGCCTGTCCTCGGGGCGAACCCGCGTATAATATTGTATAATATTATTGAGTAGTTTCAAGCCCAGTGGAATATTATAATCAATCTTAACCACGGGTATAAACGAGTTGTCGGCGAAACTTTTCATAAGATTAAAAAGTTTGAGTTTTAAAATTAGACGCTTCAATGCATCGTTCGACCTTCTCCCGCGCGCAGAGTTGACTCTTGACTTGGTGATATGCCAGCTCGCGAATCACGCGTACCCAGAAATTCATCAATCAACTTGATCCTCGTTGACTTTTCAATAGAAAAAGACTTTGATGAAAACATCATGTCGCGTCGTAAATTTGAATGACTTACAAAGCCGATCGGTAAAAAGAAAAAAAGAAAAAAATAAGGAGCTGCAAGCGATTTATTTTCACGCGAGAAGCTTTTCGCGGAAAGCCTTTCTTGAGTAGCGAGGCGCAAGCGTTCGATCTCGGATACATCGCTGTCTTGTCCTTTGCGTCGAGATTCGAAACAACACGCTGCCGCGCTCTCGGGCGCGTTCACGCGTCTTCGCGCGCGCACATGTACAAAAAGGACGCACGAGCTTTCGAACTGCGTCGACGAAGCGACAGAAGCGCACTCGCGCGATACGCGGTGTGGCTTCGAGGCCGCTGGCGCTGGCGTAGACGCGTTCAGGAGACGGATATGCGCGGCGTCATTAACGGGGAGCTGTGTGATCTGTTTGGCAGTGCCACGGTTTGCTGTACGAGAGCGTGGGGGTATTCTGTCCGAACTCGCGGCTCGAGTGCCTGGCGTCGCTGCGCGACGAGGATGTGCTGCTGAACTGGGACAAGCCGCTGTACATAAACTTCGTGCACTCGGACATCGCCGAGGAGCTGATGCGCCAGTACGCGGACCGCGGTAGCGTCGAGCGGGTACTCGGCGACGTCTGGGCTTGCGACGAGCCCGAGAAAACCGAGCAACTGCCCGACGACGAGATGACCGGCGACGTTGACGTTCAGGTCAGTTCTTTTGATGAGAACGACACGTGCGTTACAGTAAGTAGCCTTGTTTTATTTTTCTATTCTCACCCCGCCCCACTCCGTCAACTAACCATCATAAGTGAGCCCCACTCTAAAAACACCTCTCGTAACGATGTTCTCCTCGATTTCTTTTCTTTTTGCTCGCGCTTTTGTTCGCGTGAAATTGGCTTTGACGCGTACAAAGGGATTAGCCGGCGAGAACGCAGGCGTCAGCCGGCAAAGTTGTGCTAACAAAAGCCCTCGAGATTGAATGGAAGGAAAGCGACATGACGCACACAACGGTGATAATGATAATATCGCGCGCAGGTACTGCCATTGAGAGCCGAGCACGCGGAAGGTATCCACGAGCTGTATCCGGCCAACGATATGGAGTGCCACGAGCTGTTTCAACGCCTTATAAAAAGCCTGTCGGCCGCGGGGGTGTTCGCCAACGGCAGCCTCGCTGCGTGGATGGTCCAGTCCTACTACGGCGCCATGTTCTCCATGCAGACCAAGCCCGAGTTCCGGCGAAAGGGCTACGGCACCAAATTGGCCAGGTAATTATCCGCCCAAAAGTCTCGACCTCGTAGCTCCCCCGAGGCCCCGCGCTCGCTGCCGCGCCTTTCGATTTTCACTTTGCTCTTGGCGCCGCCACGTGGCCGGCCAGTCTCCCTGCGAGCGCTTGCTCGTCAGCCTGCAGAGACTAACGGAACACCACGTTTCATTGTCGAAGGTTCTTAACGAAGCGAGTGGCGGAGAATGGTTACAAGCCGTTCGTAGTGATAAGGCCAGAGAACGAGGCGAGCCAGAGCCTGTACAAGAAGCTGGGCTTCAGGAAGCTCTACACAATCGTGCGCATGACCTTCGTACCTTACACGTGGCGAGAGCCACAGCCCGGCACGATACTCCGGGAGAATTTGGCCGACGCCGTCAGGCAGCAGCTCAGCATCGGCGATCAAACTAGCAACGGAGACGACGACGACGACGACGAGGACGAGGACGAAGACGATGACGAGGAGGAGGAAGAGGAGGAGGAGGAGGAGGAGGAGGATGAGGAGGAGGATGACGACGACGACGACGACGACGACGATGACGACGACATGCAGTCGTTTACGAGGCTCGACGAACAACTCGAGCCCATAGTCGAGCGTCCCGAAGAGGAAGCTGGTGCTGGCATCAAGTTCAACAACGACGAGCTTAGTTTGCAGGTAGCTCCTCCGCTCGGCAACGGCAACTAGCTCACCACAGCGACACATGGACTGTGATCCGATAAAGGCTCTCGCTTTCGCTGATCGTTCTTCTGTTCCGACCTCTCCTTGCATTTCCATTGATCGTTCGGTCGAATCTTCAGGACTCACTTGTTGTTGTTGCGGATGCTGTGCGCGTGTGTCAGTTTGAAATTCACAGGTCGCGAGCGAGAGAGCGAGCTTGACTTTCTACGTGTGTGTCTGTGTGTATGTACATACACACACATATATCGTATACTACGTGTGTTTGGTGCGCTAGAATTTTCAACCAAAATGAGAAAACTGCGGTTTTGTAACGAATTTAAATCCTTCAATTTGACGCTCGACATTTTTTTTTATCGCATTCCAAAAATCCCAACGTAACATAAGAAATAACCAAAAAGTTATATATGCCGCGACGGATCTATTCGCTTGTACTCCGCTTGTTCATATCTGTTAGCACACCTTCACGACTTTACTATTCCAAAGGCTTGGGGAAGGTGTCTGTTCGCTCGCTTCCTTCGACATAGTACAATGAATCTAAGACGAAATTGCTCCTCCGGCCGGGCAATTTCTTTCAATTTTGCCATCGCTTACACGACAATTCTCACTGAAATGCTACAAGTACTCGACACCTTAAAACACTCGTTGTACTATGTCCAGCCTCTACTTCTGGGCTGTGTGATAATCTGTTATGCTGGCTAATCGTTTATTGGTGATCTTGCTGAAGCGCGTCACTAAAGTACAAAAGTATTAATTTTCCTTCGGTAATCATGAGAAACCTCGTGTGAATGTTACTTTGCTTCGAATCCAATGATTACAAACAGCTCGAGCGACAGATACGTAACACAGCTGCAGAATGCGATAATCTTCCATAAAATAATGTATTTTGAGCGGTGAAAGGAAACGGCGCGTATAGGTTTATCGTTAAAATATAGAAACGGTGGACAGCGGAAATGGAAAAAAAAAGATATTTTAACATAACGACATAACGAAGTTAATTAGAGAGCGTCGACGAAAAAAAAAAATAATAATAAGAGTTCGCGCGAGGTTTACGAAACTCTGCGAGCAGAGCAACGTTCGGCTAATAGTCGGCCAAACCTTCCTGCGCGCTTTCTCATATCATATTATCTCAGTGTGTTGGGATCTGCGATCGTTTTTGATCTGTTAATAAAAAAATGTCCCACTTAATGGGTATACGAGAGCGCGGGGCCATAGATTTAGACTCTTTATTGAAAAAACTTTATACCGAAAGTGCTGATGATCTCAATCAATGACTCTGTCACGTGTCATTTTCTTCTTTTTTATCAGTATTTCTGTAGTTTTAGAACTTTTTTAATCGGTGATTCTTTTGTTTCGACACACTCTATTCCGTTAAGTTGAAACGTTCTTTGAGAAATTAGGTCTTTCAGCGGAGAGAGTCGAAATAAAAGTTTCTTTCATTTATCAAGTATGACGGTCGATGCTACATAATCAATCTTGTATTTTGAAGGAAGAAAGTACATAAAGCTAAAATTTACGAAACAAATCTCTATCGATTAACAACTCTCCGTTTTTATCTTCCAAGTAGAATGGAAACAACGTAAACATTAGAAGAAAAAAAGTTGAAGACGAGGTATTTCTTCGTCGACGGAACGTCTGACTAGAACCAAGTCAAAATATCCAAATCCAAGTGTCCTAGATAAATTTTCCTAAAGTAATGTTGTTACGTAGCTGAGCGAAGACTTGTGCGACGAAGCAAATCTGTGATTATTATTTCTCTGCATATTTAATGTACGTAGAGGATACATAGAGGGAACAAACCTCGCGCGAACTCGTTAAGCTCATTTTTGTATATGTAATTACAATGATACATTAATACTGCTACGCCGATAGTGTTGATACCAAGATAATGTTGATTCAACGTGAGTTTGTTTGTCGTGGTGTTACAGAGTAATGTAGAAATTATTAGAAAATGGATAGAGAAAATAACTATAAATTAATCTGCTGTATTGTCCGAAAGATTTTTTTTGTAAAATTAGTTTTTTTATAGGTACGATTCGTCGGCGTAGCAGCTATAGCACACAAACTATGTAACGATTAATTAGACTAGAATATTAAAGCGGGTAGCGTTAAAAACGATTACAGCATTCTATTCACGTAAACTTAAGAAAGACATTATCTTAACATACACCGCGCAAAACAAAAATCACTTATTCCATTTTGATAACTCGCACATTCGTTAATCAGTTCGATGAACTAGAGCTTTTTTTTTAAATACGTAAACAAATGAATTTATGAGAATTTAGTAATCGAATATTATACTCGATGGAATTTGCATAAATAGCGTTAAATATAAATTTGGCGTAAGTTATCGAACTGAAATAAGTGAGTTAAAAAGAAGAAAAAAACTAGAAAATAAAAAAAAACTTGACGAAGGCCTCTAGAAAATCTCCCCGACATATTATTTTCAATACTCGAAATTTCTGGATGCCAGCTGTGATAATTCACCAATACCGTTTATTTACGCTATAAAAAAGCAACGTACCAATTTCTAATCTAGATATTCCGAGATAAAGGTTAAAGAGCGTGATACATTGAGAGATTAAAAAAGCAGAACAAGAGTGAGATTAATAAAGAAGCAAATTTTCGTGGAGGCGACTCTAATAATTAATGTAAATAGACGCCTCCGAGTATTTTGTCAATGATTATTATAGACTTTTGATTCGAAATTGCGCCGTCTTAATGAATACACACGCAAGTCCTCTGCGTAAGCTGCATTTTTCGATACCAATTACGACTAAACGTTACCAGAATGTAGTTAAGGATAACAAAAACACATGGAATTGCCTTAAATATTAACCATACATTGACGATGTTTTTTTTAGAACTATTTGACTCCTTAGAAATACGATGTCTCACGGATCTTTTTTCCACTTTATTATCTTTTTTTCACGGACACGACGTAATATTATTGTTTCTTATATTGAGTGAGATGCCATGAATAATTATAGTATTATAGATTTTTTACTTTTAGAAATAGGAATAATGTATTTATGATATAATCATTTACAACAGGTAATCGCATCTAATTTCTTTACAAACAATTTTGTGACTAATTACAATCGAAAATTTTTATTGCTCTTAAAATTATATATAATTATTGTTCTGTTAATTCAAAGTAGAATCAAAATTCTGGTACGTTTGTCAATGATTTAAGGTTCCTGGACTTAACAGAATTGTTTTTAAACATGTATTAGATGTGCTAACCCAAGTGTGTTCTGTCCATCTATATTGATTTGTTTATCATTTTTGATAATTTATAATCATGTATAACAGAAATTGAAAAAATAAAATTTACGAAAACGATGTAAAGATCCCTGCTTAACATACTTTCAGTAATTGTAATACTATTTTTATCGATCAATCCTGATACAATTATTTATTAAAACACTGATCGTACAGAAACTTGTTAAATAGTTACAAATTTCAAATTAAAAATTTATTACCTAAGAATAAACTTGTGCTATTGCTTTACATATTTTTTTGTTAACATAACGACTTTTTAGTCATGAAATATTCAAATTTAGGCAAATTATACAGATTTCTTACCAATTGCTTCCATGGTTTGAAAAAATTTTTCCAATAACTATTACTTATTATTCGCACACAAAGTTATTCAATGTGGACGAAAAAATATGCAGATGCAATAAAAAAATCAAACGTTCATGCATTTGAAAAATGAAAAAATAATTTTCATTCTTGCATTCTTATCAAATAATGTATTACTAAATAAATTAAAAAAATAGAACTAAGTGTTGTTCCATCTGATTTAAAACTATTTTGGAATGTTTATATTACATTTACTTTATTCTATAATTAATCTTTGAATTGAACTTTGTTTTGGCGTGTATGAAAAGATAAATGATATTTTTTTTTAAATTGATTGTTCTAAAATAAATCTTATTACACAACAATTCAATAAAAATATGACAAAATGTTTGAAATAAATTTAACTAAACAATAATGTATTTTTTTCAATCTGCATAAAAATTAACAAAGTTCTACAACTTTTTACTAAGTAACATTTCTGGAACATGAAAAATACTTGTGGTTTCAAAGAAGACTATGAAAAACAACAATGGAATCAGTTTCTTGTTAAAAAAGGTGAGCTAATAATAGTTTGCCAAGTCCAAAGACGCTTAAAAACTTTACTGCTTTTATAAAATTATTGAACTTGTAGGCCTAAATATGACATATTTTGGACATACTTGAATTCACCTTTGCTGAAAATTATGAGAACAATTTTGCGTAGGATATCTACATGTATATTTTTCCTGAAATGAGTCTCTTGCACATTTGCTAATCTTAATAAAATATTAAGAAAACTGCTCTTTACAAAAAAAGAAAACCACCACTTGTTACTCGATTAATGTTTCACAATTAGTAAAAGCACTGCACCAAAGAAGTTTTATGCGATTGCTACTTCAAGTCCAGCAACTGAAATTTAAAAAATTATCGATAATTGTGCCACAGTATTGAATTATACAAGAGAAAGAAATTTTCATTTTCTAATAGATAGTTCTGTTGGACTATCTATGACTAGTTATTAAATAAAAAGGCATCTTGGATTTGTTACAGTTTGATTGCCTTAAGGAATCCAACAAGCCTTTTTGGTCCATTAATACATTGAATGTATCAAATTATTTTCAAGCGATAGTAAGTTGAAGATGTGGAGAAAAGTGTAGATGTATAATGTGATAATAATACTGAAGACAATGATGGCAGTCTTATGTAGTCTGTCATTCTGAATGAATAAATGTACAATGAAAATATGAATGTCATTCGATGGAAATAATTATGATTTTTTAAATGGAATACTCAAGAAAGAATAATAAATTCAATTAAAAAATGGAGTATGTATCATATAAATAATTATTATATTGTTCACCCTCATATTTTGATATATGACCTTATACTGTATGCAAAATCATAATATGGCATCCTTCAATTTAATTTTTATTAAATTAATTTAATACAAAAAAAATATGCAATCCAAATGTATTTTTATTTCCACTTTTTATTTAAGAATTCAGGATTACAATTTTCTTATTAATAACATTGAACACATCTAAATTCTCTAAAGACAGATTATAATTCTCAGATATAGTTATCAAGACGAAAATAATATAATATTTTATTAATGACTGCAAGTAAAACTTTTTAATTACCTGTAATTATTTTTCATTCATGCTTTGTAATTTATCCAGGATTAGAAAAAGTATAACCTATATACTGTCGACATTTCATTCGATCGTATAGTTTGTTTTTGAAAAGCAAATTTATTTTGCCAGGCCCTAGAAAACTTGCGAAAAAATAGCAATAGCATTCAAGGTGACTTTAAATTTCAAAATATCCTTAAAATAACTTAATAATAAAAATTTACCTTTAGCCGTATATTACTATTGATTGTTGTATTTTATTTTGCTAATAGTATTTAATGTCTTCTATCAAACACCGATTACTAAGCATCGTTGACAAGTAAATACGAGATATAGGATTTTATATTCACAAGTACAAATGACTCAAAAACAATGTTAACTTATAACATCAATATCTAGTAAACAAAAACAATTTAGTAGTACTGTATACAGTCTCCATGTTCTGAAGTGAACCTTACTAAGCACCAGCACCAGTAGTTGTGCTTCTCACAGTTCCGAATTTTCCCATAGATGGCGCAGAATGTTTTGCGCATATGCTTTTCAAATATAGCTACGCAAACAAAGAGATACATAGAACACACATTTCCGATAAATACGATAATACCAATTTTTTTTTTTTCATAAATATTCACATATTGGATCGTTGTAATCGCAATTTATTAATGTCCTTGATTTAATTTGATTTAATTATACAAATACAATATTTATACACAAATAATAATAATAATTTTTTTAATAAGAATCGCTTGTATTTACAAATATGCTCTTATAATCGTTAAAACAACAAAATTTGATGATTAAATTTAATTCCACTGTCAGTAAACGTGGATCAATACCGTGCCAAGCATCCGCTAATTTTACATCAGCATTCATAGAATATTATTTTTATCGTATATTTTATCAGTATCTCGACATTTATCAAAAACGTTATTTGCGTTATAGTCACAGTTAATTCAATATAATCACTTTAATTTCAGGCAATGTTACCAGACCGTAAAAAATTTTCGAGCAAGATATTTTCGGACTCATAAAAAGAACTTTTATGATTGAATACTTTATAGGTCAGATCTTTTCTTTAATATTTATTGTGAAAAGAAAAACTATAATTAGCCAAGTTTATGGTCGCCCGCTCTGAAAGTTTAGTACAGTGATATTCATTTCACGATCAATAATTATAATTACGGTTATGAATAACATCAGTAGCTCTTTGTCCAATACTATCTATCTCGAGTACATTTTCAATGATAAACATTATCATTTTTAGCTTTTGTAAAAACAGTTAAAATAATAAAATTTAGAATGCAATATCGAGCGGAACGTGTTGAATTAATAATAAAACGATATAACTCGTAGAATGGATCCTAAGTGAAACAACGCGAAAAAGTAACACATATACACAAAATGTGAAAATAAACACAAAGCAAAACAAAAAATGGATTCCGTCAATCACGGCTCAGTGAGACGCACGTGAAATTGTTATTTCAGCAATTTTGAAATAACACTGAGCAATAAAAGATACGCATACGTACACATATTAGCATAGAAAGATGAGAGATGGAGCGAGAGAGAGAGAGAGAGAGAGAGAGAGAGAGAGAGAGAGAGAGAGAGAGAGAGCGAAAGAGAGAGTTGAGGCCAAGCCCCCTCGGTATATAGGAAATTCGTGATTCGGCTCTATCTCTGTCGCGCACGTTTGTAAAGTCGCGTATACACAGGGAGAGATGTGCATCGGTTGCGGCGGCGCGCGCATAGGTGATGTTTGCCCCCCACTTTGGAGCAGTATAGCGGCGGCGACGGCTACGGCGTCAACCTAACCTTAACGCTTCGGCTCTGTTCGGCTCCGCTCGGGCGGCCGGCTCCGCTTGGTGGGGGTAGCCGCGCGCACTCTATCCCCCCGTGACGTCACATAATTAGAGTAAATACAAAGTAGTCTTGATGGGACAGCGGCGTGCGTCGCACCGCTCTCTGAGAGTCGAGCTGCGTCTCCGCGCGCTCCTCGCCACCCGTGTTCTCTAGTTGCGCCTGTGTGTCTATATCTCTCTGTGTACACATCTATCCATATATACGACGTATATACGTACACATCGTCGAGCCTATAGTGTATACCGTGACTTCTACGATACCGGCACTTTCTAGCCTCAATTAGCTGTTTATTAATAAGAGCCAGTGTTAATAAACACACGTGTCAAGGAATATTTGCTAGTGTTATTTTTTTTCTTCAATCGCAAATCATTCCTGTGCAGTCTACACATGTACATCGATTATTATTATTATTATTGCTGTGCGCGTGTTCATCGTCAATTGTGGTTATCTGTCAGTGTGGTTGTTGGTTTTTTCAAATAATATCATAGCATCAGGTCGATGATGTATGTCAGAATCAGATAAATAAATTGAATGTGTTGTCAATAGTGCGTGCGTGAGTGTTGGGGCTTTAATTGGAAGTAATACGAGAAACGGGCCAAGCGAATTCGTCCGCTGCTTGTTTGTTTGTTTTTCGAAAAATCCTCGGAAAAACTTCTCATTCGCCTGATTGCTCGCGCGCGCGCATCGCCGGTGACGGTAGCAGAGCACGAGCAACAGCGGCGGCGGCGATTCGAATTTAAAAAAACGCCGCACGCACTGCCTGCCGCAGCAGTTAACCCGAGTTCGTCAGCCAAATGGATACGATAACAATGCAGCAGCACAAGTATCAAAAGCAGAAACAGCAACACTTGAAGAATCTTGCTCTGTTTCATTGAGAGAGAAAATAAATATAATAGAATCGTGCCCGTGCCTCGACGAGTTTTCTCTGTGGTGGGTGTATTATCTAGTGCAATAATAATTAAGCCGGGCCAACTCACAAATGATGAACCAAGTAGGATGAGCTCCCGATGAAGAGCAGCCTTGTCATTGTCATCATCAGCGCGTGACAATCGGCCGCTTCCAAATGGACAAGATCGAGGTGAGTTATACGCGCCGCACATGCACTTTCCTCGCGCCCGCCCGCCCGTGCCGGTGTGTGCATAACCCTAAACAATATTCGTTATCCCCCCTCTCCTGCCGCGCTCACTTGCTACTCTTCCCACTCTACCATGCAGTGGCCGATGGAGTCGCCGATCTCGCGTCTTCCCCCACCTTTTTCGCCTAGCACACTACTACTCGCTTTCCTCTCTCCCCACTTCCCTCAGCCACCACCGGTTCGACGTCGAATTTGTAGCCTGCGTACCTCCCTCTCCAACCCGCCCGCTTCCATAGATTTTTTGTCCTCTTCCGTCTCGCGCTATCGCTGTGCTTTACTTCCTCTTTTTATTGCCTCACTTATAATTCCAATGCATTTATTTTTTTTTTCGTTCACTAATCATTACTTTCGTTTATTTTCCTTTGCTTTTTGGAAAGTCGCCTTTTCCGAATTTCTCATTGTTTGTTACCTCGTTTTCTTTTTATTTACGACGTACCCTACATTTCAGACGAGTGATTCAACGCAATAGAATACATGATTGATGGTGACTAATGTTATATTTCGCTATTGAATAAAACGTTTGAGCAGACATTTATTGATTTTCATATTCGTTATTCTAGAAAAGCGTCGAAAGACCTTTAATTAAGTTTTCTCAGTAATTGCGCTCCTCTAAGTGTGAACATTCAATATATAAGTGTTTCTAAGTACACCAAAATGGATTACTTTTATTATTCATTGGATGGTGATTGAAATCGTTGTTCGTGTAATCTCGCATTCTCGTAGCATATTCCATAATTTATTTCGTCTCGTTGATCACGAAATGAACGAGTGATGTATAACTTAAAAATAACAATTCAAAGTACGAATTATTATCTCAATGTTTTATTGCAATGGAGATGAATAAATTGTTTTAATTTCATCCTTTCTTCAAATGCGAGCGGATATGCAAGTTGAAAAATGTGAAAAATAATAACCGTAACTTCTACTAACGGGTGATTCCGCAAAAACGAAAATGGCTTATCGACTCCAGCTCACGCGGGCGACGCGAGCTTTTTATTCAATTTTACTTTTTGTCCATTTTTTCATTTGGGAACGTCAAAACTTGATTTTAATTAAATTTAAAAGGCTTTCAACGACCTTTCAAATGCTGAAAAGACAATGTCGAAAAATTAAAATATTTTTTATACGACTACATTGTTATTTGTGTAAATAATTTTAAAAGTTACAGTAGTTTTTTTTAATGAATTGTGTCGGAAGTTTTATCAGTGCTATGCGAGGTATTTTAAAACAGTTGTTCTAACGTTATATACTTCAGCACTGTCGAGTCGGCCAACAGATACGAAAATAAAAACGGTTTATCGACTTTTAAAGTCTCGCCCGCGCGTTTTATTTCTCTTTAATCTTCTTTGACAAGGCGTTTCTTATTTCCCCCGTATATTGTCGGCTATCAAAATTGGCAAATCACGAAATATATACAGGCTTATATATTTTGCTCAAAAGACTGCAATGTCTGTCTAATCGATTAAGTTGCCCGCGAGCGTCTTAGTAAAAGATTTTGGCAAGGCTACTCGCGCGCGACGTGTGTCTTATTTGCATTCACTGAATTTCTCATATACACAGTATTTTTTCTCTAGAAAAAGATTTGAATCCGATGCCGTGGAATTTCACACTCCGATCGGATATATATATCCACACAAGAGCTATATATATATATATATATATATATATATATATATATATATATATATATAT